TATTCCATAGTTCAAGCATCAACAATTCGCTGATTCGCCACCAGTCGGCCACCAGACGCTGTCCGTGCAGTTAGCAAGCGAACAGCATAGCTTATATGCGAGCAAATGGAGGCTGACAGACATACCATAGAAATTTTCCAATAATTTACATGATAATCACTACTTGACAGAGAGTCGAAAAGCATAAGGTTGAAAGGCAATAAAATGCATTGTATGTACATATACATATAACTATATGTGTTTATATTCATCGTTTGTGAGATATGTATATCTGCTACATATGTAAGTATGTATGTACAAGTATGTAATATATGTGCAATGCATAATTTTTATACTTTGTGTATTTGTTGACCTTATTGTTGTTACTTCACCCAGCATTATTGGTGGTTTTAAATATTTGCAACTCTTTGTTGCAATTGCTTTTGTTGTGCAAAGCACTTTGCGTGTATTGGGATTGTAAATTCAGATATACATATATATACTTGCGTGCATAAATGCAATCATTTGACTTTGAATGGAAAATACCGAAATAAAAACTTTGTTGTCTTCGTATCTTGCGTTGACTCAGGTTAGTTTGGGATTTGAGTTTTGTTGTTGAGCTTAGTTTGTCGTAAGGTTCTTTAGAGCCGAAGTGAATCCTAGGAGGTCTTTAGTAGGGTTAAAAAATTTGCTAAATCACTGCTGTTGAAATTGTTTGGTAGATGGTGATGAGAACTTTACCGAACAGTTTTTTAAGGGTTAAGGTCTCACTTCTTTTGTCATCGACGTCAATCGCCTTATCAGATTTAATATTTAACCAGAATGCTTTGACGATGAATAAAGGTTTCTTAAGTTTCATAGAATTATGATGTTACAACGTAACAGTCATTTTTGAAATTTCCTAATGGTAATCTAACCTAACCTACATAGGTGAACATTGTACCATATTTTACAGAATTACTGAAGAATATATTTTAAAAATCTGAGATTGTTAACTTCTAATCAAAAACATTATTATTGTTGTTGTGGTAGCAGCAGAAAACGTTCCCCAAAATTCGCATAGCTTTAGCTATCAATTATTATCAATATTTTAGCGCAAGAACTATTTGTAAATCCAGATCCATCAAATTTTGGGTTTCGTCAGCTTTCGCCTCTTCCCGCTATTTTTGACGAGTATAAGTCAGTTATTTTTAGTTTCTCTTGGGAGAGTATAGTATATAATATATAAGTATAGTAAATCGAAACGCTGTTTTGAGTCAGTGAGGAAAATTTCTCCCAAACGGATATATTTTTTAGATCATGATCGAAATAATATAATTCTTAAACTCGTCCTTACAAGCGAAATCTTGAGTAAAAATTGAGATATCTTGATGAAACTTGGTACACATATGCCTTGGTATTGCAGATGAACAGAATCAGACCCCAAACTAAGCTCTGCAATAAGATGCTGGTATTTAGCACAACGAATTTTATTAGGGCGAGGCATCTACGGTTGAAAAATGTTTTTAAAGTGGGCGTAGCCTTGTCCTTGTGCTGTGAAATAAGAGAAAAACCACATCTACTTCCCATGTAAATTTAATTCCATTTGATTTTTTGACTTTCCAATACACAAATCAAGAAGCAATCAATGTATCCGAATAAAACTTTGCACTAATAGTACCTTTGAATTGGGCCACCTTATGGCTAAAATTTGCACAAATCGGACTAGAACTTTTGTGAAAACGTTTAAAAATCGTAACTATTATCAACAAGTAAGTAAGGACTAAGTTCGGATGTAACCGAAGATTTTATACTCTTGCAACTTGCAGAGAACAAAGCCGGGGACATACCTTCAGGTGTAGCAAAACTTTATATTAAACTAGAAAAAACGTTAGCTTCAATACCATGAACCTCTAATACCCTTCACAGGTGCATTTTTTACAGCATAAAAGGATATAGAAAGAAATGTATATTTTTTATCAGTTAAGTTTGCTAAGACATCTTACATATTGACCGATATATATGATATAAAGCCAACCGGAAGTTCGTAAATTGTATCCTAGGTGTATGGGAGATAAGGGTTATCTATTTTTGGCATTATCTACATGTTATTAACCGAAAAAGATGTTCTGTAAGTTCCACATATCATCACCAATTCATAAGCAGTAAAGTCAGCTTGATGTTTGAAAATCCTGATATTAGTTATATGGGGTCTAGGGCAAATTTTCACCCGACTTTTACCCATTTTAGGCATTGTTATTAGAAAAACACGATCCCCCCATTTTATTAAGATAACTTACATATTGGTATGAAATTGGTTGAGTTGCTCCAAAAATATGGGTTTTCACCTAAAGGTAAACGGTGCCACGCCCCTTGCCAATGCTGACATTGGCTCTAACAAAGCCCTCTTGTGCCATCGCCTATATAAAATTTAATATCTCTGATGCATTTAGTTACTGATTTATGGCACTTTTAGTAGTTTTTAATAAAACCGTTATATGAGGAGTGGGCGGGGTTATCATCCGATTTAACCTACTTTCACGCAGTCGTAAGGATTTATCCTGACAAATTTGTGTAATATAGCTTAAATGGCTTGGGAGATATATACATTAAAACTATTAAGGAACGGGACAACGCCCATTTTTTTAAGATCTTCAAAACACAGCTGCCGCTAATGCTATTAGCTATACTAATAACAGTTTTGTATCTTAATTTGGGGCTTATACATACATATGTATATATAACTCTATATCTATCTCGATCAATTTTAGGTGATACAAACAACCGTTTGGTGAAAAAACTATTCTACTCTGTAGCAACATGTTGCAAGTGTATAAAAATTAATTTCAGATACTTCTCTCTTCGTTCTGCAAACTTTTTCACTTCCTCTGTTCTAGTTGGACAAATTCCTTTAAATTCGTATTAACATACTTAGTGTAAGCAGTTCATGGCCGCGGCAATCCAAAGTGACTGGCTGGTGTGACTTACGTATGTATGAGCAGACACACACACACACATCTACACATACATACATATATCTGGAAATACATATAACATACATATGGCATGTATCGAGTGGCAGATTTATTACAAAGTGCACTCAATAGGAATTAATTCGTTGGTCCGCAGACGCAACAACATTACTACATACACACTTACACACTTACATACATATGTATGTAAAATATCCACATATTTATGATGTTTTTATACTAAAATTGTTGCTGCTACTCCTGCCGCTCGCTGCATGACTGATTTGTTGCAATGTCAGCTTGTCGTTGCCGCGGCCGCCGCCACCGCTGCTGCTGCTGTTATTGGCGTTGCAAGGCGTTGTGGCGTAGCGGAGGCGGAGGCGCAAAATGCAAAGGATGCCGATTTCTTTTATGTTCAATATTTTTATGTACTTTTCGACGAATGCAATAATTTTTAATAAGTTGCAACAGCCGCAACCGCGCAACAACAACAACACCCATAGAATATATGGTATACATGTATGTATATATGTGTGTATTTAGTCATTCAGCTTTCAGCTCAAATGTGCATCATTCATTCGCTTTCGCTTTTTGCGCTGATTTCTGCGATTCGCGATGCTGCCGCAGTCACCGCGATCAGGCGCGTCAAGGCGCAATTTGCGCAGCGTATAAATTAAGGAGCATACGGCGTAAGCGAGCTCGCGAGCGAGCGACTGTGCAATGCGAATCCATCAATTTGCCTCAATTGTTCTGCGAATAAATCAAAGCAGCGTTCCACATCAAAATTTTTATACCCAAATGTAATGCTTGCTGCTTTCCGCTTGTTTTTCAAGATCAAGCGAGTGTGGCTCGTAAGAGCTCTTTGAAGTTACGCTTGATGGACCCAGCTGAAATCGGACGAAATTAATTGCGAACGCTTTGGTATATATTTCTTTGCGAGCAGCAAATGTAAATATGTGTGAGTTTATATTGTAATGGAAATTTTATATTACACACTGGACTAGTATGTTAGGTACTAGTGGTCAACTAGTTGGAGATTACTTTAAAAATATAATATATTTTAATAGAAAAGTCATTTATTCATAAAATGTTTACCTTGTTTAGGTAGTACTAGTCACTAACTAGTTGTTAACTACTTTCAATTGGGTAAACAATTGTGCCCTGAGATTAAAGAGTAAACTCTTCATTACACATTTTCACCGTTTCAGTAATATTGATTTTTAGTGATGATTTTAAGTTTTATTCAAAGTATTGCCCATCTGAAGTTACAACAATTTCCCATCTTTATGGCAATTTGCAGATTCTATTCCAAAATAACTGCATCGGCGGCTTGGCGGCCAAGTATGAATAAAGCAGTTTTTGATACCCTGTTCTCACGTGAACCTTATTTCAGAAAGGGCGTTTGGCACGACCGGGACGGTAGTCAGAACGAGCAAGGTCTGAGCTAGAACGCAGGTGAGGCAAAACTTCCCAGTCGCTGTTCTCCAAATAGTTTTTAACCAGTCGTCCAACATGAGGCCTACGAATCTTTAGAAAATATTATAGCAGTGACCTCAGTTTGAGCAAAATCAACCTTTATGCAGTGCTGAATGGAACATGCTACAAACGTCTGTTCGATGTTATTGTAAAATCAATCCGTAAACTCTTTTGCTTAATTTTTAACTAAAAAACGCCACATCTTTGAATTGATTATTGCCTTTGACGTATCGTAATTGATCCATCTTAGTGGAGAAGCGATACAAAACGTCGACCTTAAAAAACGTTCACGTAACCAAAACTGCCTAATTTTATATCAAGCTGTATCAGTGTATTCGTATTGGTAAAGAATGTCGTAATATACCATAAACAACCTGCGCTCAAGTAGAAACGGTAGAAATTTTTGAGGTTAAAAAAGAGCGTTATCTCCAAATACTCGCTAATTCGGAGTCGAAGTTTGTATGTAACATATATATGTAAATATGTTCGTACTGAGTTCAATGATTAACAAGAAATTGTGCGAATTAATATCATTTTCAGAGAAAAAATAGAGAATATAATAAATGTTACTCATACACCATGGTGCCCATAGTCTTGAAATATTATATTTGGTAACTAATCAAAAAATTCTTTAATATAAGTATACTTATGTGTAAAAATTAATTTATGAATATTAATTTATGAGTCTCCAAAACTGTTTGAGTAAGTTTTTGTACACAGCAAAAACAAAAAAAATATTTGAAAGAGAAAGTTTATGGCCACATTTGGTTTCGGAATCTGAATCGTACCTTCATGTTAGAGAGGGTAGACCTGAAAGTGGTTTCGTTTTCGTTTCGGAAATTTAAATATAATACACCATTAATTTAATAATATTTTTCTTCATGGTACTTCATGGTCTACTTATTGAAAAGTTTGCATAGGTTCCTCAAGTTCTTTTATTAACAGATCTAGTTAGAAGAAATCCATTATTTTTGCATTGAAATTGAAGGTTTTTTTTTTGAACATAGTAAGACTGATCCGATTTTCACAGGCTTCTCTTGAGGCGAATTTTTCACGGCGAAATCATCGCTAGAAAACGGCAGTTATCACTCGATATCAGATGCTTCCTACCTATAAGGTGCATGTATAAGAACCTCTAAACACAGCGCTCGCAGCTTCTGTCGAGATCGGTGTGTGTGTACTGGCGTTGTGTTGTTGTAATTCAATTCCTCTCCTATTGGCTAAAGCTGGCCGCTTCTGGATGATTGCTTCCTTCATCAGGTCCAATTGTTGACAGTACAGGTCCCTGTCAATCTCACCAAACTCATTGTAAAACCTTTCTGACAGTCAATTCTTGTTTGGTCACCATTTTCGCGCCCTCACCGCCATTCAGCAGCGATTGGCAGAATGAAATTCAATTCATGAAGTTTTGTTGCGTTAACTCGTGTGATATACATTTATAGTAGCATACTTTTATACATATCTACACAGCGTTCATAGACCCACATGCCAAACATGCCTTAGCAACAATAATTCAGAATAATAATCCGCATGGCAACATTACAAAACAAGTTTAAAAAAAATAATAATATAAACTTGTAATCGTCAAACAACGAAGTGAAGGAAGTCGAAATAATTTAGAACTCGTTGATGAATGAAAAATGTTTTGGGGGCTTAGCGAAGCGCTTGATCTGCACCAAGAATATTGCAAAGCGCTAAAACTACAACAACCACACGAGTATGACGCCAAAAAGCAGGAAGAAGCCAACGAAGGAGAGCAAAAATCGCAAACGCCTGGAGATGTATACAAAGGAGAGGCAGAAGGTGAGGCACTCAGCGCAGAAGAAGAAACGGACGCTGGTGGCGATGCAACAGGCGCAGTTAAACAACTCAATATACTGCTCTTCGGTGCGGGTGATCCGCGTCACATCATCAAAACAATGGCCAAAATGTACCGACACAAAGGCAGTCGTGTCAATTTCTATGTGCTCGATGGTTGCATAGAAATCGTGGCACGAAATATGTTGCTGCTCGGTATAGCGCTTGAGAATCCGCAATCTTTCCACTTAATGCGAAAGGTGCATCTCTTCATGGACGTATACGGCAATGCGCTGCTGCGTCCCGCCTCACATCAATATCTGATAGGTAAAGCAAAAGCGATGCTGAAAATGATCACCGACGATGAAGAGCTGAAGCGTTTGGCACCGCAACTGAATATTGACCGACTAAGGTATCGCGAGCGCGATGGTTTGGCGAACGCCTTCAACTTTCTACTGCCACGCGAAGCTTATAACTTCAATATGCAGCAGTATTGGACCGAACGCGTACGCAAATTGTTGACCACGCGTTATGATTATCGCGAGGGCGCCTTCGATTGGGATTTGAATATGGTGTTGAAGGACAGGGACGCAGCGCAAATATGCTCGCAGGTGATATTCATTTTATTTGTAACAATTTATTTGATTTTCAAAATTTTTGTTCATAGGAATATCGCTATTGGCGCGAAACGGGCATCGCCTTTACTTACCCCGAATATGAGCAGTGCAAGCCGAATAAAACACTCGTCGCCGGACTGGTACGTAACGGCGAGAAATATGTGCATCGCGGTTATGCTGGTGACATAGAGACGGGTCCATTTTGCACATTTGGTCTCAACACCGCTGATAAGCAAATGATGAACTCTGTGCATGGCGATAATGACTATCGTGCCACGGACATTACCGAACGCAATCTGCTGGAATACTTTCACGAATTGCAAACTTGTGCCGCTTACAAGCATGATCGTAAAATTTCACGTAAATATGGTTCGGTTAAGTTGCTAATGGGCGAGCGGCTCACATTTGATGAATGCGATGTGGATGCCATGCGCGAGTATGGTAAACCGTGGATTCAGATGGAACAGTGCAAGATATTTTTCCTCTCGGCCGATGATATTTTCACGCTGCAAGACGTGAATGCCAATGAAAACTGGCGCAACTTCTTCGATGTGGTTTTTGTGGGACATAATTACTTTCCATTTTTGAAGAGTAATTTCGCCGAAGTGCTGCGCGCTAATGCGTTGCTCATTTTGGAGAGTAAACTGTTGACTGTAGCGCGTAAAGAGGTGGTGCACGAATTCGAAGACAAATTGAAGTCATATGCGAAGTTGTTAAATTTAACGCCGGTGATCAATTATAATGCCTTGAATTTGAAAAACAGCATTTTGAGATATAAGAAAATCATCGAAGTGGAGAAAGAGCTGAAAACGGGAATTAAATAGTTCAAATGAACATTTTTTTAAAACCTCTAGTTACTACTTTGCAATCATTTTTACAGCCAATCATTTCGTTTCAATTAAATATGTATATTTTTTAAACTAAAAACTTACAAAAATGTAATTAGTTGCTATTATGGTTTTTCTTTTTAGTGGCCCAAGTTTCTAAATTGAACTGCGTATCTTTTCTGTACGATCTTATTTTAGGCTTTTGCTTATTTTCTTCATCATTGAAGTTATTATCTAAAGAGAAATTCAGCTGTTTGGCGCGTTTTTCCAGCACACGCTTTTGTTGCAGCTCATCTGCTGATACGTCGACGATTTTTCGGCGCGGTACATGCTTTAGCGCTTGTGTCCAATTATTGGTAGTTTTCAGTTCTAATAAAATGTTGATCATTTGGTTAAGCGTTAGCGACTTGCCTGAACCTGCGCCCCACTGTAGGTAGCGATCGAGCGGCAGACGTGCCATCCGCAGTCCCAAACGTTTCGCTTTAGCTAGCGATAGCGGCTCATTATTAACCTAAGAAGTGGGAGTAAATTTAGAAATGCTGTACAATTCTTATCTGTGTATATTTACCGTATCCACCATTGCGCCAACTATATAAACATTGTCGGGATTATACACTTCCAGATCTGTGCGGCAATGTGGCGTCAAATAGACTAGATTTTCTTTCGGAAATAACTCGGTAAAACATTTTTCATGCACATTCATCGGGAATTCTGTATTGAACATAGTGGGTATGTAACGGTTGAGAGCTTTTGTGCATATGCTATCCAAATTCACGTTGCAGTAATGCAAATCGAAGGGATCATCATGGGCACGATTGTCAGCAAAACATAACATCAATTGTTTAGCTGCGTTCAGTGCCTCGCGGCGCGTCATATGTCGATCGTATGAGCAGTCTAGCACAATTTTAGGCGAAAACTGCATGGCGCGTATCAACCTGAATAAGCCAAGCAACAATATGTTTAAGAAAATTCAAAGTTAAGATGTTAGTCACCTGTTATTCTGAAAGTTATTTATGGTCGAATCGTAGATACGTAAAAATAGTGCCGTATGTCCCAAGCCATAGATGATGTGTTGATTTTCTTCACGTTCTTTACGCATTTCCTCCTTGCGCTCCAGCACATGTACGGTACGTTCCTCTTTTTTACGTTCCTTGGCTTGTTTTTTGGCTTCAACTTGCCATAAGTAACCGTAATACTTGTAGCGTGCTGACTTCGAAGGCAATGTAAGTATGTGTGCCCAGTTCTCATCTGTAATTGACTCCAATGCCGGCACACGTCGGCCCTCTTGATGTGCGATATCGACTTCGAGTTGTAAGACTTTGAGAAGTTTTTCGCGTTCCTCATTATTGGCTGGAGGCTCAGCCTTTGCACCAGAATCATTTCGAAATGTTGGTTGTGTTTGCGTGAAAGGATTATAGGGGGGTTTAGCAGGTTTAGACTCACTTTCGATGTGCTCATCATCTGCGGCTACTTTTACACAACTACGCGTTGTGACCGAAACACAAACGGTTTTCGTTGACAGCAGACTGTGATTTGTACACTGTGATAGTTGCAAATAAGAATGCAATGCACTACGAGCAGGCGCTAACCGGAATAATGATTTTAACATTTTTTTTTTATTTAAATTATTAACAAGTAAGAGATTTGATAACCTCCATGTGTGTAATCGAATTTGCGACGAATTGACTATGGTCACTCAGCTGTTTAAGAATGTCAAATGCAAAAGCATTAGGTAAAAAATAAACAAAAGGGAAAGCGGAGAACGTCTACAATAAAATAGATAAACAATGCATAAAGAGGCAGCAATTTTCACGTGTTGTGCAAATATTTATATGTTTTCCGTATGTATTTTATTTTAAACTATAAACTATATATTATATATATTGATATTAGAGAATTATAATTATATAATTTACATTGTCTTTTTCTATATTCCACATTTTCCATTCAACATTTTTTCGAAACCACTGTTGACACTTTGAAAGCCACTGTAATTGAACATCTGTTTACTTGAGCAACTGTCAAAATCAGCTTTCATTCATTTACAGGCCAGCGGCTAATAAATTTATTCCAATAAGAGTGAAAAGGAATAGAATTCCTCGAAATAATAAAGTTAATCATTATAGAAGTAGTATTTTTTATACATTTTAAAATAATCAAAATAAACGTGATTTGTGTTCTAATCACTTCAGGTGCAGTGGAAATTATTTAATAATTTAAGGTAAGAACTTTTAATGGAATCGTGTCGAGTGAAAGTTTTTATGTTATTCACACATGAATTCCGCCACAAGAAAGAAGAAAGTAGCATAGCATGTTTGGCAATTAAATACAAAATATTGTTGCCGTTGATGCAATAAAATAGAACAATTTTTTTAATAGTAAAGTGTTTCTGCATAAACCCAAAGGTCTAAATCGGCTAAAGAAAGTGCGTCAGGAAAAGCAAAAAGTCCTTTATCAGACTTTCACATGTAACTGTAGCACTGCTAATGACAGCAATAATCAACGTGTAACTTCAGCACCAAAACAGTTAAAATTTTCATTGATGCTTTAATTATTGAACATTTAACTCTGCATATTCAGCGCACATGAAACGCAAAGCAATAGTTACGAAATTTCAAATATTTGTATATACTCATGTTTGTATGTCAGCTGAAAAAAGTCTTATAAGTATGCATGCCTGTGGCTAATGCCTCCGTTCACAAAGCGTGTGCTAAGAAAGTTGTGAGTAATCACAAAATGCTCAGGCGATACTCATTTCTTGGTACTCATATATTAAATAATACGCTCTGTCCATATGAATGTATGCATGCGCAAATGTTTGTAATTAAATTTCCATACATACATACATATGTTTATTAATGTGGGCTTGGCAAATGTGTTGAAAAATGGATTGATGTCTATTTTTGTTAATTCATTTATAATTTCACGTGTTAAAACAAAACGCAGTAAAGTAAATGTTTTAGTTAGGCGCTAGCAGTGTTTGTTTTACTTGACCGTTATATTGAAAATGCTCTCAAATCTAAATGTTGAAGACACTATTTGCTAAAACCATAATTTTAATAATAGTATATATTGCTAACGTTTAAGACGCATGAATTGCGTACATATGTATGTATATCGTTAAAATTTTTATAGCGAGGATTTTTGATCAGGCTATACCTCAGTTAACGTTTTTTTTTTGTTATATAGCAATAATTATTCAATAGAAATATACAAACATAATCAGAGCATTATACACATACAAACATATTTTGAATATTTCCGTAAAAATTCAAAATGCTTACACGTAAAAATCAAGCTATAACTGCATTTTTTCTAAAATGAACTTAGCACTTTCTTAGAAGAACGTCATAACTTTGAATTTATACCCGCATTCATTACTTTTCCGGCTGTAAAAGAGAGTTCAAACGTAAATGCTGATTTTATCGTTCTTTGTAAACACATGCATATGTATTTAGGATATTCATATGTGCTATGTTTGAACTCTATAAATATTTATTCATGTAAATTGAAGACATATAGCAAGCAATTTTATTTACAAATTTAAAATATTTGCAATCAGTTTTACTTTTATGATTTTTGCTATAAATGCAAAACGTCGGAACGATTGCTCACCAATAAAAAGCGAAGCCACAACATGAATACGTTTCATACAAAGCAATTAAACTTTGAACCCATGTAAACATTCGACTATGACAAACGGCAATTATAGCAGAGGGTTTTTCTAAACAACAACAAAGACATACGAATGATTTAGAGAGTAGTTTTTAGCTTAGTTTCTAAGCGACAAGTACAACGCTGATAAGCTTATCTATCAAACGCTAAAGTCTATGTAAACGATGAAAAGCGTAAGTTTTGAGTAAAACTGAATGAGTTGTGCTTTTGTGGGTGTCTGCTGCTTATAAAAAATGTAAATTAAATGTATCGGCTCACTCATATGCATATCTACATGTGTATTTATGCATAACACTTGATCAATGATCGAATTATTTTCATTGCAATAACAAAATGTCAAATATTACAGGCATTGTAACATTACGTGAAAATCATACAAATTGTTTCGATGGGCATTAGCAGCGCATAGGAGTGTCCAGTATAAATAGTTGTCGCCTCATATAAGCATATATGTACATATATATGTATGTACTATATATGTAAGATTTGTATGCTCAAATGTCGGTACGATCGATAACAAGTTAACTTTGTTGTGCACAAGCCAAATGGACAAAAGGTGCTTAACAATCACAGGGGCAATACATTAACCCCACAACAACAAAAGTAACAACTGACAAATAAAAACAACAAGAACATTAGCTCTAGAAAAGCATTTATTGCAACTAGCGCTGCCAAACGCTTTTATTTGCTGCTCGCTATCATTTCGAAGTCAGTCTTTTTAACGGTTTCCAACGTTACGGTTTAAATTTTTTGAAAGCTTTGCGCTCTGAAACATTTAGTTGTGTCCACGATTACGCGATCATTGATTCTAAGTATTTTAAAGCTGTAACATCATCAATTCTGGGTCGCTGCCGGCCTGTTCGTTGTTTATATCAACACAAATAAAGCGCCAATTCATCACCCGGCATACAGAAAACAAAAAGTGAAATTTCGAAATTTAAACGGTAAATAATTAAATTCCAAATATTGCGATTCTTTTTTGTTTTCAAATATAATATAAATTAAAAGTGTGACTGCACGTGTCTTTTTGCATGTATGTATGTATATAAATATTTGCGGGTATTTATGTTTGTAAATTTGTGTTTGCGTTATTTTAATTGATTGCGCACGAAAATAAACAAATTTGTTGAGTTATTGTCTTTATAAAAAAATTTTACAAATTAGTTAGCTTTAAAAATAATCACTAATTTATTAAAAATGTGCAATTAGTGCACCAAGTAAACAAAAGAAAGAATTAATTGTTTTAATGGTCTAATTTTTAACTTGGCTTTACTTAATATAGACAGGCGTAAATAATATACATACATATATATATGTAGATATATACAGTAACTGACAATAAAATAGAATCAAATCGATGTTTCCGAAATAATTAACAATTTGTATTATTTTTCCGATAAATTTCGGTTACGTTTTACTTCGATTAATCGATTCCTACAATATTTATCTTTTAAAACAACATGAAGGTAGCTCTGTTACATTTTACTGTTATCTTTTTGTTCAAATTAAACAAAGTGTGCATTTATTGTCAAGACAAAAGAATAGAATCAAGGCATAAGAGTATATAATCTTTAGGATATTTGTTAAAACTTGACATTTTGTTATAATTAAGTATTATTTGTCGAAGAAATAGGCCGAGGAAAGCATTGCCCAGCGGCAGAGCGTAAGCTCATAAAAAATTTGCAAAAAAACGGTTATACTCAAAAGAAATTTTCAAAAATTATAAAAAAAAACCCAAAAATTTTTGTTTACTGCTTTGAAATATCCAAAAAATGCGAATTGAGGGGACGGAAAACGACGTCTCACGATGACAATTACATAGAGATTTTATCAAAATCCGATCCTTTCAAGACTTCTGTAGCTATCCAAAGGAAATTGATGTGGAAATTTCTGCGATATCTGTTGCACATCGCCTTTTAGAAAAGAATCTCGGCGGAAGGTTATCCCGGAAAATTCCAATTTTGAACAAAAAGACAGTGGAACAATCGGATTGCTTTTGCTTCAGCGCATATCTATAAGATCGGTGAAGAAAATGCAAAAAAGTGGCGTAAGATCCTTCGATCCGATGAATGTAAAATAAATATGGTAGGTAACGATGGAAAAGATAGGGGTCGACGTTCGAAGAATGCTGAAATAAATCCCTAATACACGACAAAAACTTTCAAACATGGAGGTGGTAATATCATGATATGGGACGGAGTTGGACCATTTTTAGAATTCGGGAAATCATGGATCGCTATCACTTCCTTAAAATTTTAGAAGATGTCATGTTTCCTTAAGCTGAAGGGAACATGCCTTTAGTTGGGCAGTTCTAGCATGATAATGCTTCGAAACATACCTCGGGTGTGGTGAAGACTTGGCTACAGAATCAAGGAATCGATGTAATGATTTGACCGGCGCAATCTCCGGATTTAAATCCTAAAAAAAACCTGAGGAGTATGGTAAAGAAAAAATTGAGACGCATTAAACTTCAAAATAAGGAGGAACTATGGGAAAAAGTCCAAAAGGCGTGATATTCAATACCGAATTCAGTCTATAAAGCTCTTAGCTCTCATAATACTAAAATTTTTATTAAGTTATTCCTGCTTTTGAAATGTTTAGAATAAGTTTTATTTACTATAAAAAATAATTGTTTCCTCCGAAGAAATGTGGTAACCCTTTTTTATTTGCAAATAGTTATGAATAAAATTTATATTCTATATTATTGTCAGTAACTGTATGTATGTACATATGTTAGTATGTACATAAATAAACAAACTGCTCTTGTAGTTGCATGTCACTTGTCGTTTATGTCAATTTAAAGCTGCTTTGGTGCGAATAAATGTTAAAAATCAACAACAACACAGCGTTAGCCACTTAACTTTTGAGCCAAGCTTGTCAATATTAAACGAGCTACTCTAAATTAATATATAAGTAGAAATACACGTGATGTTAAAGGCAATAAACTACTAAAATGAGTTTTGAGTAAATTTGCTCTAGTGAATATAATATATTAAAATTAACGTTTAATAATAATATTAAAAAAAAAATGATTAAAAAAATTATTTTTTTAAAAATCACTTATAAAAATATTATTACATATTAATTTATGGAATGCTTAAGTGTTAGCAAAATGACGGCACTTAAGTTGTGACTTATGTTGAATAATTTTTTTAAGGTATTTTTTAACAATATTCAAATATAATAAAAATTAAATAAATGCTGACTTTTGAAAAAAAACAAGAAAAAACGTTAACTTCGTTCGCTTTTGATCGGTCAGTTTGTATATCAGCTATATGCTATAGTGTTCCAATATCGGCGGTTCCGATAAATGAGCAGCTTCTTAGGCCGAAAAGGACGTCTGCAAAATGTCAGATTGATATCTTTAAAACTGAGGAACAGGTTCGCGAGGGACGAACATTCCTAAATCGACTCAGATCGTCACGCTGATCATTTATATATAGCGTCTCTGATGTCTCTTTTTGGGTGTTAAAAACTTCATGGAAAACTTAACTTACCCTGTTCTTGTTATAAAAAACAAATTTACCTTTATATTCATCCTATTTAATATAATTTTTTTTTGTTTTATTCCCATAATTTATTTATTTTTTTGCAAAATATAGTTTATTATCATAATATTATATTTTCTTTAATGTTATATAATTAATTAGTTCTGTCATCTTTTACTACTGTTTTCGTGTGGTTGTTTTACCTATACATTTTGTACCAGTGAACATTTCCCACATTAGTTGATGTAATGCTGCCGTGTTGACGGTACTTGATCGGATATATGTCCGGATCCGTATCGAATATGTAGATCCGACTGTCTTGGGAACGCATTCTCTCCGTTTGTGTAGACACAATTATTGTGGAAACAATGTTAGAAAACTATAAGAAGTCAGTACTTAGTTTTACAGAGATTCCTTTTCTTCCCTAATCACTTCTTTTCTTGTATAATAAATTATTTTATTTATCATGTATAGTATAAGATTAGGGGAATCTTAAGAAATCAAAAAGCTTCCATAACTTTGAACAAAAAATATATAATTATAGCCTGCTTATTTATATCAACTGTATAATTGTACAGGCAATATCAGATAACACGTGTGCAATTAAATGCGTGTGTGGCGTTACATAAAAAATATTTAAAAAGAATGCACCGCAGAGTGCAGTTTTCCACACACTCCAAAAGTCAGCTGGGGACGAGTTTTCGAGTCGCAACCAAAAATTTATATGAATATGTATATATGGTAATTCCTTTGATAACTTGAAAAAAATCCCCAAAAAAAAGAGTGATCATGATCTTTACACAAATTATGCAAGAGACCCACTGACCAAACAACACAATGTATACATACATACATACATACATACCTATGTACATATGTATAATTTGTGTAAGTAAGTAAGTAAACATTCCGCTGAAGATACTCACGCACAATATGTTGCTCATCCGCACGCTCATTCAACGCCCGCTCGTTCGGCCTCAAGCGCACTCTTCACTAAGCAATGTGGCAGAGAAAGTTTTCCATTCGATTTCATTACAAATGCTTACAAAGTCACTTACATACATGTTTTTGTGCAAATTGTTTATATAGAAGTTAAACGCACTTGGTGATGCGTTCCACAATTGATCCGTCACAGTGTGGTAGTAGTTGTTGAGTGATTTTGTGTGACACATGCAAGTCAGAAGAAACGCGTTTTTTTTATTTATTATTTTTTTTTTTAAGAGACAATATATTTGAAGCTGAATAAAAAGTGTACATTTAGAGAATTTAATGTATTTTATTAATCTATTTATTTGAACATTTTTGGATTCCCTTATTCCCGTAGCCGAAGGAAAAATGGTGTCTGGCGGTGAGCAAGATTTTTCTGCATAAAATTATCTCAAATCCAAAACCTAAAGTATTTATTATTACAATAGATAAATACAGGTAACGATTGAAATTTTGATTTTTGATGAAATAGCGGCTACACTTCAGAGTTTCTTAAATCGAAATTAATATCAAAAATCGCATTCCTTCGATCATTACCTAACAAGTACAATACATCTAGAAAGGTTGTGTAAGAATTTCAAGTCAATCGGTCCAGCCGTTTTGGATAAATTTTCCTCACCGGCTCTGAAAACAGCGTTTCGAGAAAAAGGTGTTTAAGTTTTGCGAGCCGATTACACTAAGTTGAAATTCCTACAAATATGCTCAAGTTTCTGAAACTATTTGCCGGTTCAACTTAAAATATTGATGATTATTTCCAAATACATTCGATATAAATACATACATACATAAGCCAAAATTATAATTTTTTTTGAAATTCATCACTGGAAATAACCGTTTAAGTCAATATCTTCGTATTTTCTTAAAATGGCTTAAAATCTTAATATTTTGGTAAGAAAACTTCGCTTTGTGTACAAATTTGAATGGAGCGATCAAAGAGCGCAACAATTATTCATTATTTTTTCTCTGTCAGCATTTAATTATACTATACTTTGGGCGGTAACATCATTATCTAATTACCAAAAGGTTTTTGAACCACATTAGTTTTTATAGACAAGTATTCCGCCTTGTTACCAATTCTGTACTAGTCTCTAATTACTTGAAATATGTTCCTATTGTTTAACCATTTCATTTTTTCTACGGTTTTAAAAAAAAAAAAAAAAAAAAAAATTTTTTTTTGTAAATATAATATTTTGTCCTTCGTTGTATCTTACATCTAATTATTGGGGAGAAGTGTCAAACTACTTTAAAGTAGTTCTGTACAAGTACGTAATACCATCTTTACGGAGAAAGGTTAAACTCGCCAAAAATTAATAAGAAAATATGATATTATGATGGCAACACAATTTTTTTGTTCCGAAAACTTAAGCCGCTACTTGAACAATGACTATTCATAGTAGACTGCTATACTAGTACCATTTTGCACTAGTTCTATACTACCCTGTTGTTACAGTGTTAAATTACACGTAAAATGAGTTTTTTATTTTTAAATTAAACGTGTTATTGTACAATAATATTATAACAAATAGTACATTTATATGTCCGTTATATACCATATGTTAGTTTTTTTTATTACTCATATAAAAAAAAATTTTGTTTGTATTACAATCATTGCGGGCGAATGTTCAAACGGAAATCTTTTATTTGTTGATTTCGATTTCGATTTTCAATTATTATAAATAGTTTTGTTTTATAGTTTTATTTTAAATATTCATTCATTCATATATTAGAAACTACACACATACAGACACAGCCTACAATTGACCGCCAAAGTGGCTTTTTGACTCTTGCTGGCTCCGCACGCCGCTCTGTTGACGGAATTTTTATTTGGTCTGATCGACCATCGTTTTCGACTCTTTAAGGCTGGTGGGTCTCTTGTCGCGCGCATTTGGCATTTGGCTCTTGAGTGTTCAAGTTGTAGTATTCCCGCGATCTTCGAATTCTTTTTTTTTTTGGATCTTTCACTCGGCTTTACTCCGTCTGGCTGGCTTTATTTCGTAGCTTTGACGAGTGTTTATTTAAGAAAACTATTTGGCGCTAACAGACAAACAGCAGTGTTAACACATCAGTGTACGTTTGTTTATGTGTGTGTGTAAAATTGTTGAAAGAATTCGTCGTGCAAACAGGTGAAAGTTGTGCGTGTGTCAAATATTTGGAAATAAGTAGGTATATAGGTTTACCAGGTTTATACCAGTTTACAAAATAAATTGCTACATACATATATACATGTTTCTATAAATTGCTTGTGATTGTGCGTGTTATAAAAGCATGAAGCCTGTGTTAACCTTTGTCCGTTTGGTGCTTCGACACGATACAAATTGAGAATTGCACTCAATTTATTATAGAAATGTGAAGCGATTATTTACATATATAGATATTAATAAAAACATTTATTTACAATTGTGTGCATACAGATTTGTATTTGTATAATCGATATTGATATGGTATTGTGTCAAAGCATTCAAAGTGCAGTGAATTGTTTGTATAATAAAAAAAAAATGCAATTAAAACTTGTGTGGCACATATTTTTTTTTCACAACTTTTATTTATATTTTATATATACATACTTAAAACTAAAGAGAATCTAATTTAAATAGTTTTTGTGTTTTTTAATTTTTTGTTTTTATTGTATTTATTTTCCAACACATGTTTTTTTTTAGAAGTTATATACTCGTATGTTACGCGCATTTTTACAGCTGCAAACTTTTGGAAATTTCCCTTACTTTTTTTTAAGGTGTGGCGCTTGAAAGTTAATTCGAAGAAACTTCTTCCTCCTTATTGTATGTCATCAGTACCATCTACTCAAGTTTGACCCGGACTCACAAAAAAATTACATTTTAACGTATTGTAATACAAATTGTTATAATCACTTTCAAATAAAAGCCTCGTCTTGGATGGCCTTCAGCGAATTTTGGTTTTTTTGGGTACAACTTATTTTTGGAGCGTCATTCGCTAAATTGTTAGACAGTTTCGATGTCATATTCATAAAGCCACGTCTCGTCACCAGTAGTGATGTGTTTGTCATCTCTTTTACGACCTCTATTCGTTGTCGTTTTTTGTTAAAGATTCAGTTCTTTTGATACGAGTGTAGCTATTACACGCTTAATACCCAAAGCATTAACCGGAATGTATTGAGTCGATCTATAAGAGATATTTAAATTCTCTGCTATCTTTCAGATGTCAACACGATAATTTTCAAGCAACGTATCTTTAACTTTGCTTCGCTGTGATCGTCATTAATAGTGGTAGATGGACGACTCGCTTGTTGTAAACTTCCGTTGAATTCACGAGCTTAACTAAATGCTTTGTGTCACTCAAATACTTTCGTTCGAGATAATGTAGACTCCCCAAAATAGTACTTCTGCAGTATTTTTAATGATTCCATAGCCGTGATGCCATTGGAAACACAAAATTTCTAGAAAAACGTTGATAAAAATCGCCAGACAAACCCCTTACGTCGTAGACAAACACACGCTAATTGACATATGGACATCAAACTTCACACGACCATAAAAAATTCGTTGCATGTGTTGATAAGAACTCCAACATTTATCTAAGCATTCTACTTAAACTAGACAACTCATCTCAATGCTCTTCACGTTTCAGAAAATTAAAATTATTCGTGTGTCAAAATAGTTATTTTCGAACCGTGTCTACGACTAATTTATGAACGATTTTCTCATGTGAGATAGAGAATAAAAAAAGAACAATGCAAGTTCCTACATAATAGCCTTCCACTGTGAGGGGTCATCAATTGCAATATATACACCGTTATTAATAGCTAACTTCTTTTCATTTGCAGTCTAACAATCACCCAAGCGTATTACCAACCACCACAACCTACTACTAAGCACTAGTCAAGCTCACATTTCAACTCGCACATACTTACATATAAGACAAATTACAAATGTGGCCTAAAAATGTTGGCATACGCGCTATTGAGGCGATCTTCCCATCCCAGTATGTGGACCAAACGGAATTGGAGCAATTTGATGGCGCCTCAGCGGGTAAATACACCATCGGTTTGGGTCAAGGAAAAATGGGTTTCTGCTCGGATCGTGAAGACGTGAACTCACTGTGCCTCACTGTGGTTAGCCGCCTGTTGGAACGCTATCAAATCAAGCCACAAGAAATCGGACGTCTAGAAGTCGGCACCGAAACCATTATTGACAAATCGAAATCGGTGAAATCGGTGCTAATGCAACTATTTGCCGATTCGGGCAATACAGATATCGAAGGAATCGATACAACGAACGCATGCTATGGCGGTACAGCAGCACTCTTCAACTCAATCAACTGGATAGAGTCGTCCAGCTGGGATGGTCGTTATGCATTGGCCGTTTGTGCTGATATTGCTGTGTACGCGAAGGGCGCAGCACGTCCCACAGGTGGCGCTGGCGCCATTGCTATGTTGGTGGGACCGAATGCACCGCTCGTCTTTGAGCGTGGCCTACGCGCCACACACATGGAACATGCCTACGACTTCTATAAGCCCGATTTGAGCTCCGAGTATCCCACAGTGGATGGTAAATTATCGATACAGTGTTATCTTTCCGCGCTAGACACATGCTATCAGTTGTACTGTAAGAAGTTTGCGAAAAAGTATCCGCAAGAGGCTGAGTTTACTTTGGATAACTTCGAAGCGTTGCTCTTCCACACGCCTTTCTGCAAGTTGGTGCAAAAGTCAGTGGCGCGCGTCGTCTTCAATGATTTCCTGCAATGCAGCGCTGAGAAGCGTGCGCTAAAGTACCCCGGCTTGGAGCGCTTTAACGCGGCCACGCTGACTCAAACCTACTTCGATCGCGATGTCGAGAAGGCCTTCATGACAGAATTCGCTGACATCTTCGAAGCGAAAACACGCCAATCATTGCTGCTGGCCAATCAGGTGGGCAACATGTACACACCTTCGGTGTACTCCGGTCTCGTTTCATTGCTCATCAATACGCCACCCGAGCGACTGGTGGGTAAACGCATTGGCCTCTTCTCGTATGGCTCCGGTTTAGCGGCCACAATGTACTCAATGCAGGTGACAAAGGATGCGGAAGCTTTCAAACAACTCGTATCTAAATTGGATTATGTTTTACCTATGCTGAATTCGCGCGAGAAAGTCGCACCCGAGTTGTTCTCCCAACTGATGGAGGTGCGCGAGAAGAACAATCATGCGGCGCCATACACGCCGAGCGGCAGTGTGAGCGTGCTCTTCCCCGGCACTTACTACCTGCAGTCTGTGGATGACATGCATCGGCGTACATACGAACGCAAGCCGACCATTGCGAATGGTGTCCATTAATAGTTGCGGTTAAAGGATGTGGTCGTCGGCGTGTCGAAGTGACGACAGTGGTGGCGGTGTAGGCTTCGTAAACGGCGTCTCGGCGCATACAACAGCGGGTGCGTGCGATGTTCTGACATTGCATGGTGAATGAGAGAATTTTGGGCGCCATATGCAGTGCTTTAACTTAGTTTTAGTTAAGGTAGGTGTGTGTGTATCACATTTTGTTGTAAATTATTAATTAAAAGTACTTAATTTTTTATAGAAAATAATAACACAAACACAAAAGCAACATGTGGTATGCAATTGCAGTTAAAATCGTATTTTCATTTATTTAATTAAATTTCAAACAACACTTGACAACAATAGTTCATTTAAAATAATGTTGCATATACTATACTAGTTAGCTAAATTCAAATATGTACATATGTATGCAGGTACATAAGCAATAAATGATTGCACTAACTAAATACCGCTAAGTATAATGGTTTACTACAAGTAAATTTTTTACAAAAGAAATAAAATCCATAAAGGCCGAGTTATGGTTCGGCGCACTCGTAAACACGTGAAGGCAATTTGAGCGCGCGGCTTGACAGCAGCAGCTTATGCACTTGTGCGAACGCAACTCTACCTTGTACCTTAATACTTGATTGCAAATGTAATATGCTTTGTTATTTATTGTTATGCACAACAAAACGCTACTAAAATAGAAAATATACATAGTATGAAAAATTCAACAAGATTTACGCTATTATGTAGTTAGTTCTTAGTTCAACGCACTTCTAAAGAATATAAATTATTTTAAAATGTATAAAAAAAAACTAAAAACATATAGATTTTTATATCTATAACTACTTTTCACATTTGCTTACGCTTAAGAGCGCGCGAAAACGTCTTATGTCAAGCGACCAAGTAGCTTTACATGTTCATGTACATATATGTATAAATGGAAATGTGAATATATAAAATTATATAGCGAACATAAAAATTGTATGTTGAAGCACTATAGCATTAGGTTAAGACAAAATAAAGGCAAACCTCATCCAAACAAAAAAAAAACCGTATTCCTCAACTTATTGCTGTCGGTTGCGGTAGTTGGTATAATCATATTTACTTATGTACGTATGTGTGTGTAATACTCCTAAAAATAATATTTTTGCTACCCGTAGATATTTAATTTACGTGACATTCGCAGCTGCAGCGTAGTAATCAGCTGATTGCCTAGAAGAGACATAAATCAATACTTTGGAAATTTTATACCAGTTTTTATATAAATATATAAATTATACGATAAGATTAATACAAATCGGCTACGATTCGACGGCTAATCCAACTAAATAAACTTTAAAGATATTAAAACAACAACGCTATCAACTAATATGTATAAAAAAAAAAATTGATTGCGTTTAACAATTTAACCACTGATAACGGTAAACCATGCAAAACGAAATTAAAACAAAAAAATAACAGCTAGTAACAAATTATTATGTAAACATTAAATAAAATCAAAAGAAATTTTGTAACATTGCAACTGCATATATATCTACATAAATACATTTAGGCATATGTAATAATTAATCAAAAAAGAATATCTAAAGTAAAACACAAAATAGCAAGTTGGACATACATATAAGAGGCATATGATCTGTAACACACACAATTCGTTGTACGTGTTATAGCTAACGACTATAACGGAATTAATAGCATAAGTCATTGAGCGTTAAAGATAATGGCAGGCAAAGGAAATGTTCAAAATAATAAATGTTAAAAGATAAATTCGAAATTAAATTGAAATTGTTTGATTTCACATTAAGCGTTTGTAGAGTTGAGCAAATCTTGAAACCCAGTTATGTGCGTTCCCACGACACTCGGGTCTACGTTGCGGGAAAGTATCCGTAGGATCAAAATTACTTCAGGCATGTTTTCTGCAGTTACAACGACAGCAATAGCAACCCGGATATTATGTTATAAAACTATATCCTTCAAAGTAGTTTGTGAAGCGACATGCCTAGTGTGTCAGCCTAACAAAAGGCGGTTTTTAGGAATTGAAACCAAACAAATATTGTATCAATTGTTTTAAGATTTTAAGAATATATTTATACATACTTTAAGAATACACCGCGATCTCCGAAAGCGCTAAATAGAAAAGGTCCTCAAGTGCAGCAGCCATTCTGGCCTTCTCTGTGGAAGAAACTTAAAACAAAAAAATTCTCTACTGGAAGATATTGTCGGTACAATGATCTAAGGTCGAAAAAAAAATGTTTGATAAAACAGAGGCGTTTAAAAAGTTCTAAAATACAACTTTTCTGTTGACATCTTTCAAACTTAAAAAAAAAATAGAAAACCGTTAGTCGGAGGACCTTCCCGTTGCAATTAAGAGCTCATGCTTGGAAAGGCTTTTCTTAAAGTTGTCTATTAACCAATTTTTCAGAGTACCAAGCGAAAAAAACATGCGTTTTTTTTGACACACCCTAATGTGTATTCATACATATATATGAATAACTCTTCAATTGTTTTTGCTTTTACTGTATCCCTTTCCAGATACGCTTTCTTTTTCTTTTATTTGTTCACGTTCTTTTTTGTCTATTTTTGATAAGTATATAAATTACGGTGTAAAAAAACAAACAAAGCGTTGTTTAGTTGGCTGCCCATTACTTAATAAACAATGGTAATAAGAAAAAAGTCAACTTCGGCTGCACCGAAGCTATAATACACTTTCCGATGCACTGCTTATAACAAACAAAAAGGTATAAAAATATATTTATTTTGATTTTGATCGGCCAGTTTGTATGGCAGCTATATGCTGTAGTTGTCCGATTCTGAGATTGTAGCACTGCCTTGGATAATAATCTCTTTAAATTTTTGGAAGATATCTCGTCAAATAAAAAAGTTTTCCATACAAAGATTTGAGTTTGATCGATCTGTTTGTATGGCAGCTATATGCTTTAGTGGACCAATATCGGCGGTTCCGAAAGCAATAACAAAGTTAATTTAATTTAAACGCGACAGTAGTTGAAAACCTTACTAAAATGGTATAACTGCTTGCTATTACATCACCATTTGATTATAGCAGTTTGTAATATTTATACCAGTTGTTATTTCCACCCGCCATTCTTCAATGCTATGAGAAACGAAAACATACATCCTTATAGTACCTCATTCGAAGCACCATTTTTCCTATGAAAAATACACATATATTTAAAGCATATTTTTACATTTATATATGTTTATATATAAAGTCAAAATTGTTTGTATATTTTCGCAATATTGCAATGCTCTCATCACATTGCACCCGTGTTTACATTTTATCAATCAAACTTTCTAAATAAATTTAAACAATAGCGAACTTGTTGAAATAAATATCCAATAGCAAACATATGTGCTTATAACAATGTATGTACTATATGTATGTATGGTATACACCCAGTACTGAAATCGACTAGTTTTAAACTTACAACTGGTATTTATATATGTGATATGTCAACTCACTATCTTTTTCTCACAAAGAGAGTTAGTTATTACGAGTTCATGTCTCATGTCACGAATTGACCATTATCAGATTTCGTTTAGAAATGAACCAGTCTCATACTAGTTCAAAACAGTAAGAAAACTAACTAGTTATAACTAGTATACTTTCTAGAATAATTTTTATTTGGATTTAGTTCAAATACTCTTCGTTTTTACTAAGCAAATAGTGTTTCGCCAAGGCAATTTAGCTCTCTTTCAGAACCAGCTTTCCAAAAACTAAGTCTGATGTTTTTCTGACTATTTATAAATAATTGTATTCGACTGTGATTTTAAGTTATTTTAAAAATATTTCAAATATATTCAAGTTCATTTTTTAATTACTACAAAATATCGAGATTGGCAACCCTGCGTTGCAAGAGATTGCTCTCTCACTCTCAGCTCACTCGTGTCTACGGAAAAAATCCAATTTTCGCGGATATCCTACCGTACGGTCTGTTGAAGCGGACGGTAGAAGCGGTGGTGACTGTTCATTTACATTGCGCTCTCATAAGGTAGGTCGTATCAGCTGATTCGGTACACAGTTTTGCGTCGGTGACTGTTTGTGCTATTAGTGTTTTTAATAACTATTTTTTGGGTTTTACCACAGTATTTACTTATATATGTATGTATGTGTGTATATAGTACCTAATGCTATTAAGTAATTGATGAATAGCCGATTGAAAGCGTAAATCTTTTTACAATTAATTTAAAAAGGTTTTTAAATGCAAGTTGATTGTGATTCAAATTAAGTTGAAAAGCGTGAAGATGATTCGTTGCATACACTGATTATCGCATCAAAAGTTTTCTTTATTTAATTATGTAGTTATATACGCCAAAAAGTATTTACAGTGATGGCGTAATAATAAGCACGACAAACGGAACTAACCTATTAAAAAAATTCGCTCTGTGCAAAAAATGAACAACGGTTAATTTGAGTATACATATTTATTTTTATCATATTTTTAGTAAAGCAATTTGTAACTGTGTCTAGTCTTTAACAGTATTTAGTCTTCAAAATAGTACAAATATACTTCTGTCAATAGAACACGCATTAAAAAATATATATGGTAGATTTGTAGCAGGCTTCTTAATTCAATACTGTGAACTTGAAAAAGTTGACGCCTGAAATGAAAAAAGTAAAAATTTCGTAAAAAAATTATTTAAAATTATTCTAAAATTTTTTTTAAATTTTTGGTTAAAGAAAAATACTTTAAATTTAACATATGTATATTTAACACTAATGTAAAATTTGAAAATATTATGTTTACAAAATATATTGCATGTTTACCAAAAAATTCTGTTTGTAATTTTCGCATTAGTGTTATATACGTATATAATGAATTCTAAAAATTTTTCTTTAACAATAAATTAAAAAAAAAAATTTTGTTAAAAAAAACTTTAACAAATTTTTTAGATAAAAAAATTTTTTTTTTTGTATACATTTACCATTTGGAATGATACGCGTGTTGAATATATGCGTTTGCTTGATTACACCCAGTTTTTGTGATTTTTCGAAGAGATTCTAAAAATATTAAAATAGTTAGGAAACAGTGAGCATAAAACTTTTTTGAAGTAAAATTTTTGGTTTAACGAAAAACTAAATTTTAAAATTACTGTAAATATATATATATATAGGTATATATTTGTTTTATAATTATACATAGCTCGAAATAATATTTTTTTGTTTGCAATGAAATGTTATACTCACAACAACATCGTAACCACGCTGGCTGTCCAAACCCATCTCTTTTAAGTTGAAGCTAATTGGATAAGGAGCGCCATCGGTGCGGCGATTTACGAAGGCCACAGCATAAGAATATTCGCTGTACAAGAAATTAAACAAAAAATTTATATTAAAAGTTCAAAAATATATATATTAAATTTTAATATATTAAAGTTGTAAACACTTTTTGAAAAGCAGACAAATAAAAAATTACCCAGCGGAATTCCTTGGTGTAATTGGACGCGTCCAAACTTCGACATTCTTTTGTATGAGCACACGACGGCCTTGAATACCCAGTGGATCCTGATTCACAGCGATGATTTCACTTTACCAAAAAAAATAAAAATAATAATTTATTTAAAAATTAATAAATTTACAAAAAAAATAATATTGGAACTTACCGATTTTGCAAGATCGCCTTAATTTCGGGACGCACTGTAGCCAAATCGTTTGACATAATCAATGGCGCGGCCAAAATGGCCCACACAGCCATTTGCAATTTGCTCTGATCGTAGCTCAAACCAAAATTGCCAAGAATCAACTGTAAAATATGAAAAAATATATGTTAAAGAAATATCACCAGCCGCTATATCCACACAACTTACCATATCGGGATCATTCCAATGACCGGGTCCACCATGTGGTTGTATGCGATCTTGATTTTTCGAGAAGTAATCCATAATCTTGGCAACCGACTCAAAGGAATCATCGATGTCGTCATAATTACGCCACAAATTGCAATGCTCTTTCAGCGCTTCATAGTCGGGCTTAAGTGAGACAGAGCAAATGTTATATAAAAAGTATAAAAAAAAAAATATTTCCCAACATTAACTTACGATTTTGCCTTCATATTCTTGATAGACCGGCCAGCTGCACGAATACACCATAGAGCGCCCGGTTTTGTTGAGCAGACGCCCAAATTCAGGATAACCCGCGTCCATTGTCGTTGTATCAGCATAACAACCATCCAATTTCACATAATCCACATCCCATTCGGCGAAGGTCTGTGCATCCAGCTCCATGTGATTGATCACACCCGGATAGCCGGCGCAGGTGTGTGTGCCATAATCCTGATACAAGCCGAATTTTAAGCCAGCCTCGTGAATCTAAGCGATAGCGAGAATTAAAATATGCTTTTATTAACATTATTTCATAGTTTGTTGTGTATTATTTTTCACTTACATAGTCAGCCAAGTGATTCAGTCCACTGGGGAAGCGATATCTGTCTTCTACTAATTTATTTGTAGCGTTATTACGGTTCTTTTCCAACCAACAATCATCAATGATGACATACTCATAACCAGCATCGGCATAACCTTCCGACACTAATAAATCAGTGGTGCGTTTGAAGAGGTTCTCACTGGAAAATAGAGGAGTGTAGAGGGTAAATAGAGGAATTGATAAAATTAGAAATTTTTATTCGCCTAATTTCATACCTCACACCGCTCTTTACTTTTTTTTACTAACTATAGTCCATAAAATTCTCAAACCGCCTTTTAAGTACAGTTTAATTAAGAGGAAAGTAGGTCACGGCAATCTACTCTTCACAGTTTGAGGTTTATTGCCATCTTCATCTTTAAAATAAATAACTCAAGCATAAATGAAGATATCAAAATAAAATTTAACACATCAGAATGTGTGGCAACCCTTTTTCTCATATACCGTATATGTGGTTCTATGTTCTTCTGTTGATAATTTTTCACATAGTATAATTGACGTTGATATCGGAAATTTGAGAAATCAGTTCATAACCCGCTTAGTTTCCATATATATTGAATATAATGATTTAACTCTCTTCTTTTAATTTTATCTCGAATACCATATATTGATCAATATCTAACAAATTTATTGTAACGGGATTGTGTACTAAAAATGAAAATTTCAGTGGACAGAGAGGATACTGATATATCCACTTTAAGGCGGATATCTTGGAGAAAGCATAATAATTCAGAGACTAAGAATTAGATAAAATGCCTTTGTATATGATAAACTGGTAATAGGTGTAATCGGTATGTAAATTAGTCTATTAATGAATTTTAAAATCCGAGACCACATTTCTTCCGTAAACGAACTCGAATATATTTTACTTTGATTAAATTTTTCAAACCGCGAAAGTAGTTAGAATATATGGTAGTTCTTTTTGTGTTTTTTATACTCGAAATAGCGTATATTGAGTTTGCCACGAAGTTTGTAATAACCAAAATGAAATGTTGGAGACTCTATAAAAAATATACATACATATATAAATGATGAGCGTAATAAGCTGCGTCGACTTAGCCATGTCCGTCTGTATATACACGAACTAGACCCTCAGTTATAATAATATCGATTTGAAATTTGGCACTTTTCTCCCTAATAAGCTGCTCATATGTCGGTGCCATCGATATCGGACAACTATAGTATGTATAGCTGCCATACAAACTTATCGATTAAACTCAACTCCTTGTATGAACAACTTTTTTATTTGACAAGATATATTCACGAAATTTTTCACGTATTATTGCCTAAGGCAACTGTACAATTCTCGAAAAATGTTTAGATTAGACTGCTATAGCATATAGCTGCCATATAAACTGATCGAACAAAGACAGGTGCTGGTATGAAAAACTTTTCTATTTGACACGATATCTTCAGATCACTATAGCTAGTAGCTGCCATATAAACTAAATTATCAATATTAAGTCTTTGTATGGAAAACATTTTTATAAAGGGCATTCTAGCTTCGATGCAACCGAAGTAAACTTTCTCACTGTATTTTATTTAATTGCACTTTTATAAACATTTTTTTTTTTATTAATTTTTAACAACACCTCATCAATCGACATGAAATTACGTTCTCTGAAAAAATAGTATCGCAAACGCTTCAGCCAACACCGAAAACTTGTTTATATCATTGTTATACTTTTTGTGCAAAAATTTTTAGATTTTGATTACTTTAAAGTTCAATAACCAGTGGAGCAATTTGTTTGCACTGAACTTGGATTGAAGCAAAGCTTTGAAGTGCATCTAGCTTACTTACACATGCATACACAAGCGCGCTTACACATACTTATACACACCTTATGCACTCATTCGGATATTTTTGACAATCGGTTATGCAGCGGAAGCGCTCCCAATGCATCCAACCCATGGGCGGTGTCCTCGCCAAGCCATTCTCCAACGCCACCGCGGCTTGATAAGACGCCAGCAACAGCAAAAGGATGTTGTAGAACATTATGGTGTAACTTTACTCAATCGGAAGCAAAAAAAAAAAACAAATACACCTGCAGGGCTTTTCACGCTTTTACTTTCGTTTGTAATTATGTCGCGCAACTTCTGACTTTTATATCGCGTTCGTGCGCAGTCCACTTGCACTTTGTAAGCGGTGAACAATTAATGATGGCTCCTGTTGTTGGGTATAAGCGATTTATATATGCTTTTCAATTACTAGATAAGTGCAGGTTCTCGGTTGCTGTTGTTGTTTTTCTCCACTTTTTTTTTATTTGTTTTGTTTTGCCTTTTTTTACGCAATAGGTGGTGATGGCGGTGTGTCGTTGAAAGGGCCCTATTGCCAGCCTAACTAACTGCGCGTACAATATCGGAGACACAAGAGCTGTGCTCCAATTCTAATGTCGTACTAAAAAACAAAAACGCAGTCGACGTTGGTGCCGGCAGCAGCTACACACGAAAGTACCAACAACAAGTATCGTGCGCCAACAACAATAGCCACTTAATGTGTTCGCGGCGACGGTAGCCGTTAAACAGCTACTCGTCAAATGTGAGCACAGTCAGTCTTATCAGTTTAAGTTGAGATTGCGACTTGAAGTTCAACGTTATGCTGCTCTTGTGCGCCACTTGTTCGCCTCCTGTTTTATTTTATTATAATTTTTTTTTGTAGTTTTGTACGATTGTCGTCGTTGCTTTTACTAATTTGCTGATTTTCTGCCGTTTTGAAGTGCTCCTCTACTTTTTTCAATTAAAACTTCTATGTATGTATATGTGTGTCAACCACTTTATGTGTAAATACATATATTTATATGTGTACAGAAATTGTTCTCCAATTGAGCACTCAAACGATAGCGTTAGGAGTCCGCAGCAGGCGTAGATGGAATGCGAAAGTCATGAGTCGTAAAAAAAAGGGAACGCAGCACGCTCAAACCGGGATGTCCGCGCTGCGATAAATGATAAGCAAATGTGCATACATACAAACATACGTACATATATAATTATGTATGTGTGTACATATTTAGCTTAAGCTTAGCTTTGTTTCAAGTCGTGTTTCTGAGGGTCGGCCCGGCCCTCCAGTTTAGGGCGAAGTCGGCAGTAACGCCGTTTATCCAAATGACTTTGCAGCTTGTTGAGGGTCAGCCGCCGCTTTGTCAATAAATAATCACAAACTTGTAGGTGTTCATACACACTTCCACACACATAAATTGTATATATTGCAACATTTGCTGCCGTTGCTGTGGCTTGTGCTTGTTTGTTGTTAATGTTTGCTATTTTTATTGCACTTTTTGCCCATTGCAGCTGGCCTGTTTTAGTGTAGCAATAACGTTTTTTTTAATTATTTTTTGGTTATTTTTTTTTGGTGTTTTTCTTTAAATTTTACCAACTATTTATATTTGTGGCGTTTAAGTGGAATGCGTGACTCCGCTGGCACCCGCACTTGCGTTAATTCCGAAACGAAAACGAAAACTTATCGCAAATCCAAATGCAAATGTATACCCGCAGCGTTAGCGAAATGAAGTGCTTAGACCACCTATCCGTTCGACGACTGGTCGAGGAAACGCGGTGCCATACCGTCAGCAGTAACTGGTGCGCTGCAATGGGAATTGTTTATTTTCAGCTCGCTCTTGCCTTTTCGCTTTAATGTTTGTGGTATTTTTGCCTTTTTGTTTTTGTTATTGCCTTTTTGTTTTTGTTTTTTTGTAATTGCACGATGATCACAATTGCTGATCTGTCAGGTTAAACTGGTTTTACGAGTGTTGATGGACGAAATCGGTAAATTTGCATTTTAATTTAGTTAACGGTAACTGAAACATGCCTTTATTTTGACGTAAAGAACATAAATAAAGAAGGGCAAATGGGTATAATCTTACAACCGTGCAATCATATGTACATATCTATGTAAGTTTGCACATAAGTATACATATATGCATGTTTTCTAAAGCTGTAAGCATTGCAGGTAGAGTTTTATGTCGCTGACAGCTTGCGGTTTGTATGGTAATTCGCAAAGTGACAGTTTAACAAACCCATTTGAAATGATTTGACTAACGATGCGCTTTCAATGAATTAAGTTGTTTGAATTAAGCTGAAAGTTATTTCGTATTGCTGTTTGAATAGACGCTGAAGAATTTTATGTTTATAATTTTGACGTAAGAAGCTACAATCGAACTTCCATATAGCGAATCTCAAGGGGACAAAAACAAACTACGTTATATAGGCCAAACTTGACGCCTTTGAAAAAAGTAAAAAGTGAAAAAAGTCTTACAAGGATGAAACCCATTGGTAGGGAAGATAAAATAACAAAAAATAAATAAATCATAAAAATAATAAATTATGTGTGTTTTGAATAATAATTTGGGAATAGTAAGTTTCGAGGGTCGAAAACGTTTTATCTCGATTTCCGGGAAAACTACGAGTCCTATGGAAAAAAGTTATAAAGTTTTCACATATCTCCCATACTAGGAGTCTTTTGGAAAAAAGTAAAATGGCAAAGTTGTAGATAATAAAAGGATCTACAATTGTTGTTTTAACACATTTTACACATAACCTCAAAATTTATATGATAAGTTTAAATAACCAAGTTTTTGGGTTTTTAATTTTTATCATGTACAATTTTTTTTTTTTACCAAATTTGGAGTAAATTTACATACTTATGCCTCAAAAACACTGCATTTTTTTAAATTTAAAATATTAAAGAGGAAACCTTATTTCGACTTAAAATCGAAAAAAATTCGAATTTTCAATTCTGAAGTCAAAGTTTCAGATTTTTCGAAAAAGTCAGTAGGTGGAGCTTCTACTTTTTGTCAAGTTAAAGTTATATACTTTACTGTAGTTAGTTTTCTCAGAAAATTGAAAAAATACCCCACTAAATGATTTAAACGTCCTTTTTTACAGCTGCTACTACAAAATAAAAAGTAGATGAAATAAAAAAGCAGCTTTAAATCGTTTAGTGGGGTCTTTTTTTGCATTCTCTGAGGAAACTTATATATTTTTACACAGTATATAATTTTTATACTATCAGAAAAGTAGTAAAGTATAGTATAGTAAAATTCGCTGTAAGGGAAATCCTTATAAGGAGAGAAAAACATACCGAAAATTTAATGAAATTACAGTGTTCAGGAAAATAATTTGTTGTGAAGAAAATTTCGTTGTACAGTTAGTAAAGAGAAGTTCGTCTGTAGTTTATTTACGTATAGAAACAATAAACTAAAAAAATGTGTAAAAAAAATAATATTTGTATCAAATGTATAATAATTGTATAGGCATAACTATAAATATAGGTTTAAATATAATTATTCTCTGAACAATGAGATTTTAAGCGGTTTCCATTTCATAATAAAGGAAAAAGTCTTTACAATTAATTAGATATTATACTAATAAAAATATGTAATAATAATAATATTAATAATAATAAAAAGAATAATAAATAGTGGTAACATAATTAATAACAATTATATAATACACTTTTGATAAATATAAATATTATATTCCGCACATCACAATAAAAAGCCGCCGGTTTACAAACTACATTCAATAACTGCTGATCAAGCTTCATATTTATTTGCGTGTGCTATTTATTTGCAATATTTGCTTTTTGCAATCTATTGCAGAAGTATTGGGCTTTCATGTTGCCGCTGCATTTACAAGGCGATCGAATTCTTGACGTAACTTCGAGAATACACACATATGTATATACATATGTTCATATATAGGAGCAAATGGAAAATTAGTGTCCCATATTGAGGTTATGCATATTTGTGTACATAGAGTGTACACAGTGTAATTTGAATTGCGATATTTCAACCAACCGTTTACCGTAATAGTATTTCCACATCATGGTAGTCGGACTCACATAACTAAAGACAAGATAAAAATATTTATATTGAACATAAAAGGAATGGGGCGTCCATATCTTGATACAATCGTACTCACGACTCACCAAGCAATGCTACCCGGCAGTTTTACAATTATACAGTTATTTACATTACAATGGCATTAAGATTAAACGCGAAATAGTGTTGCTGAATGTTTTCATATGGGAATTACTAAATTGCATTATTTCTCAAAACTATAAAAAAACGATTGTATAATATATTAGAAAACTTAAATACAGCGTTTTTTACAATTCGATGCTAAGGCATATATCTGTAATATTTGTACATACATACCTGATAAGTGCATACAATAGTAAAATTAGTACTCGCGAAATAGCTTTGACGTAAACATTTACTGCTAAATTTCAAAATTCAAACAACAGCATTAAAATCAATTAAAATATTATAAAAAAAATTACACTCTATTCTCTGTTTAATTTATTCAGGCATTCCCTGTCTATATCCGCTGCCCTTTCATTTTTACATGTCACAATTACATTTCCTTTTGCTACTTTGGCGCCATTATTTTGCCTAGTTCTCAAACCATTGACTACAGTGCATGCCAAACTGTTAACTGTCAAATTATTAACGAAATTTCCCTGATAAATGTTATCACGTGAATTTTTTCGTATTCCTTTTTACGCTCGTACTAATTCCGTTTTACTCGCACATTCGTTGTGTTGAGTTTCTTCACAGTCTGTCTTCTCGCCGTCGCTGTAACCGTCGTGTAGTTGCCGTCGTCGTTCGTTGTCGATTGATTTTTGGGCAATAGAAAATTGTAAGTGAAAAGTTTCCAACGTAATTGCAAATTCTTTGCACCATCGAATCGCACAAATTTTCGGCTAGTTTTGCAAAATTCCGTCGCAGTTAAAGTGTGGTTTCGCAGCTTCGCATAAAAAGAAACACGAAAAAAATGTAAGTGCCCCGTGCCAAAGTCAGATAAATGTGTGAGTGTGGAATGGAAAAATAGAGGGGAGCAACAAATGTTTTGTGGAATAGCTTATATCTATGGTTTTGCCTTTTGGTACGCTACTTAAGAATCGCCTGTAAATTCATGGCTGAATCGCAATCAAGGCGTAATTAAACGCGCCATGTAAATCGGATAAAGTGTTTGAATGCATATGCGACATTGTATTGAAGGTTAAAACATGACTTTTGGGTGGTCACATATAGCTTCTATAAAAGCTGACAGGATCATGTGTGCGTCCACTAAAAGTTCTTTTGGCTGATTTGAAGGTGTACAGTCTGACTATAAATATATGTCAAATACATATTATGTATAGAAACAGGCAAACATATTGCTTAGTTGGCTTAAAAATCATTTGAAAAAGTTAATTTTCATGATTCTGCGAACCCGTGAGCGAAAAATTTATCGATCCAAAGCTGTCATGTGACTGTCATCAAACAGCTGACACCACATCGTGCTGCTATGGTGGATTTGGCATTTCCAAGCGCAGCGCTGCTGTGAAATGTCAGAAAGTGTAATAGCAGCTGTGGTGAATTCTCTTTGCATTTGTTTTGGTTACCTTTTCGGCCTTCCATCCCAATTTGACAAACCTTAAAATTTCTAATTTCATATTTGAACTTTTGTTTTTCGAATTGTTCCTAGTATTGAATAAAGTAGTAGCATGGATTTAATGCATTTGAATTCAAAAAAGTGCTCTTTCGCACTTAATGACAATTTAGAATAGATTTATAAATGGTTTTAAAACTTATACTGTTATAACTGTAGTTGTAATTAACTCACGTGCCTGTTATGATAAAAATCTTGCTTTCAATTGTAATAGCGAGTTCTGACATCATTTCGTTTTTAATTCGCAACAGCTTTTCACCTTACGAAAGTACGTCTAACTTTTAAGGTGTAGCCCAGGACACGCGAATTTAGACACTCCGCACAATTTGCGAATTTCCCAAGCATCGGAAACGCGTTGCATTGACACACATTTGACCTGCCTCATTTTCTAACTTAACGCCCAGCTTTTTTTTTTTTTATAATTTAGGAAGGTTTCGTGTAAAGCGAAAATGACAAAAAGCCGGCACGTAACATCATACCACTGTGTGCATGCCGTGGTTTAAACCGTCAACATGACATGTCCGGCAATGTCCAAAAAGTGGTCGCGCCTAAAATCAAACAAACAATTTCTATAATTGTTAAAGCGACATTATCTAGGCTTGTAATGGCAGTATATGAATAAACCTTAGTGTTTACATACATATAAATTATATTTCCTAGTTATAATTTCCTATTTAATTTTATGTGCTCACGTCTAGCAGGTGCTTGCGTGCTTGTAATTAGGGTAGACCTTTAGCAGGAATTGCCTACATTATTATAATTGTAATGGCGCCGAACCGCTTACATAACATAGTTTTTTTTGTTTTTTTTTTTAACTAAGTATTGGATAATGAATTCATAAGGAAAATTTAGCTGTAATGGCATATTAATAGACAGATATTTGTTTGTCTCTGGTTCATGAAATCAATTTTTCTTGATTTTTTAAAAACTAATTGTTTTGTTTATTAAAAAAAATACTTTAAAAATACGTTACACAAATTATTATACCCTATATTATCATACAATGTGCTCTTTTCAAGGCTCCTGTGGCACGTGGAAAAATGCTTGGTGAATTTCGCTTTTATCTTGCCCAATCACCACACATGCTTCAGACAGTCATTACATATTTAATTAAAAAAAACTATGTCCTTCAAGTATACATATGTGTTAGTGTATGTATGTTTTGTGCCACACTTACACAGCGTTTAAAAATCATATTGACATCTAGGAAACCAAGTCCTTTTGTGATTGTAAACATTAACATTTTTATTGATATACGGCACTGATAGCCGGTAATTATACTCCTTCTTGCTAGTAATTGTCACACTTTGCGTGTGGCAGTATGTGTGTGTAATTTGTATAGTATTATAATATTGTTAATAATGCATATTTTGCTTGCGATAAAAATTGTAGGCACTCAATGAACTACTTAACGTGTGTTTTTACAAAAAAAAAAACAAAAAACAATTAGGGACATCTTCATATGTAGCATACTTACGCGGGTGTGTTTAAACTAGTTAATAAAATTTTTTTATTTCAATAACTAATACAAATGAAAAAATAATTTTTCAGTCCACAAATGACAGGCAGCTTGTGTTTTTGTCTATATTTATTAACATACACAATAAAATATTGTGCATTGACCATGAAACGGTAAAAGTGTGGCTGCTTACAATTATATGGTGTATATATCTACCATCAGGTCAGCATGTGCTTTTATTCACTTGAAATATTTCCTATAAAGGGCGCTTCTAATCGTCGAATGGTCAAATTTTTGCTTATCATGTTGACAAGAATTGGGTAGTTTAAGAACACGTTTAACATAAATACTTGGTAAAAAATAGATACAGAGTTTTAAATTTTCAACTCCACTTTCGCTTGTGTTCGCCATTAACTTTGAAAAAACCAAAAAAAAAAATCGTTAATACCATTCACAAACAAACAGTTCCCATACAAGAACTTTATTTTAATCGATCAGTTTGTATGTCTGCTATATGCTATAGTGGTACAGTAAAATCAATATTTTCAGACATTGTTGCATTGTCTTCGACAATATTTTATGTCAAATTTCCTGAAGATATCTTGTAAAATAAAAAAGTTTTCAATACAAGGTCTTGAGTTTGATCGATCAGTTTGTATGGCAGCTATAACCTATAGTGGTCCCATGTCGGCGAGTTCGACAAATTAGCAACTTCTTAAAGAGTAAATAGCGTGTGCAAAATTTCAGATCGACATCTCAAAAACTGGGAGACTAGTTCGCGTATATACAGTAGACGGACATGACGTAATCGCCTCAGCTTGTCACACCGATATTTTGTAAATCAACTTAATAGGCTCTCTGATATTTCCTTCTGGGTGTTACAAACTTTTTGATTAACTTAATCTCACCTGTTCATAGTATAAAAACATACAAACAGGAGACAGTGGTGCGCAGGCAACTTTGGAGACATAAAACCATAGAAAATGCTCGAATGGCATTCAATAGGAACATTATTATTAATTAATTAGCGAACAGCACACCCGTTGAGTCAGCACTTGGGGTGTACACCAAACTACGCTACAGAAAAGCAAACGTTATACGCTCGTTGTTGCAATGCACGCCACTGTGAACATTTGTATATGTGTTCAGTACGCCAATTGTATTAAAATACTTATATACATATATGTATGTATATGTATGTGTGTGTTTAAGCGCGCAGTGCCAACAAACTTTGCTATTGCCACCACAATATGGGGATATAGCAGCAACAGCAACAACAGCGTACGCGTAACTTCGTTGTTTCGCGTGACATGGCTGCTTGCTTCCTCTGTCTCTATTGCACTGCTCGTTGCTTGCTTAGTATTCACCCCCACGGCTATGAATCTTTAGCATTACCGTCATTATCAGCGCTTTCGTCAGCATTGACGACGCCAGCCAGCCATTCAGCCAAATAACGGCACCACACACCGCTTTGTCGCCGCACATTCGAGTTTAGCATAGTTCCACTATTTGTTGTTTTTTGCGTTTGCGCAAAATTTTCGCCGTGACAACGCGCACATTTGCCATTTTCCCTTTCGAATTTCGCTGTCTTTTCCTAATCATATTTACTTTCCAATAGCTTACCGCGACTATGCGCCATACGGTGGATGGCGGCAAGTAGCAGTTAACCACCAAACCCACTTACCACTCACAATTCTTCCGCTACAAAAACAACAACCACCCACCCATCTTTTCAGGCGTCATTGGTGCGCTGCACTTAGTCTCGTTGGCGCCAGCATGCTTTGGAGTTGTTTATGTTTTTCCCGTTATATTTTGATTTTTTTCTTATTTTCTTTTCTTGTGTATATTGTTTTTTTTGAGTTTTGTTTTTTATTATTGTTTCTTATAAAACACTTCGCAACTATTTTCGGTGTTCACTTAACGTTACGACGATTTCGATCGCCTTGACGTTTGCGCTCTACCCGGCGGTGGCTATTGGCAGGAAATATTTTGAGATTGTCGATCTGTGTCGATGTTTGATGCATAAGCTGGTCGCTAGCCGAGCGACGCCACCAAGCCATTAGCTGCATTTCGTCACATTATCACATTATGTATGTATGCACTCGTGTGTTTGCATATAAAGCTTTGTATGTGTTTGTGTATATAATTGTGAATTGTTGTCTGCTATGGAGGTGGAAATCAATTGTGCTGCGGTGCCACATTGTCCTGTGCATGGCATTCGCTCTGTGAGTAGCCCTTCATTCGGCTACATACATATTTATTGCGGAAGCCAATGGTAGGAAGTTGGTGTCGTGAGTGTGCTAAAAATAGCATTAACACTAAGGAATACTGAATAATAAGTATATTTAAGTAATGTGTGCCACAAAAGTATACGCTTATACTTAAATACAATGTACACACATGTAGCCACAAGCATACAAGCACCGCGTTTGCGTTACTCATACGCCCTGTCGTTCGCCTAGTCATAATACAATTTGTGCGCTCATTCGTTCGTTCGCCTTGCCACGCGTCCGAAAAGTATTACTGAACTTTACAAGGTTGCTCATTGTGTTTCGTTACCATGCTGACTACTTGTCTGACTGTCCCGTTTTATTTGTATTTACATACATACATATACAATATATGCATACATATGTGTGCACATTCGTTCCGCTGCACTGTGCATGCAGACACGTTTATATCCTGGCTATCGCCGATTGCATTTATAACGCGTGGCAATTGCGCGATTCGTGTGGTGTGAGTGGCACACTTCCGTTCGTGGCGCCACTTGCAATTTGTTTTGTCAAATTTTACTTCAAATTGTGCACACACACATACATACATACATATGCAGGTTCACTTGTAGTATGCCGATTGGTTGCTATTTGATTTGGTTGGTTTTTTTCGGTGGTGGCATTAGTCATGCTCTACAGATGTGCGCAAATACACCAAAAATGCATGGTATATAATTTAGTGTTTTTCTTTGTGTCTGCGGTTTTGTGAAGGGAATTTTTTATTTGAAATTGTGATGGCGTAATTATCCTTTAGTGTGTATATTTTGATTTTTGCTGAAATAAAATTATTTTGCAAAAATAATACTGTGCGGCAAGCAGTGCTTAGGGCGCTTAGAAGAATTGTGACAAATGCTTAAGATGGCTGATGGCTAACTTAAATTTACTGAAAATTGTATTTCTTTCTTTTATCTCTTTCACAGTCATTAGACATATTACGTACCTTACATTTTATAAAAATATAGATTTAGCCCATATTTATCTTTGAAGGATTCTTTTTTAGATTATCATAAAGATATTGTCCATACAACAACCTACAGTCGAAAAAACATAATGAAAAATTTAGAAAATGTCGGTGTTAAAATAAAACTATTTTTGCGCAAAATTTTTGGTAGTTTTTGTTTTTTCAGAAGATAATTAATATTCGGTTTATTGCCGAAAAATCACTCAAGCAAATTTACAAAATGTAGATTTTTAACGCGTTTAAAGATACATACCGTTGGAGCTGATTAATCTGAGCGGCTACATTTTAGAAGTTTATAACTCAAAAAAATTTTTGAGATATCGTTTTAAAATTTCAGTATCTAATTTTTAAAGGTCAATTTATTTATTTATTTTTCATTTAATTTTATCAATTCGACTTGAGTACTTTATTTCCGTTATTCATATGCTTTGTATTATCAATTGTTTACTTTGAAATATATTCCACAATTAATTTATTTTATTTTTTATTATATTAATTAATAATTTTCTTTATTTTTTAATTAATTAATAAGTATTTTTTTATTTATTACTTTTTCTTTTCTTATACTATTTTTTTATAAATTTTTTTAAGTTCTTTTTTATTATATACAATTTTTTTATGATTGTTTTTAATATTTTTTTTTAATTTAGTTTTTTCTTTTTAAATTTTTGTTATATTATTTTGGTTTCTGAATTTTTTTTTAGTTTCTTTTTTAAATAATTTTTTTAGAGTAAGGTTTTTTTTAATCTTTTTTTATTATTTACTTTACTCGGTTAGCACTCCTCTTGAAAAAATCTCAACATCCCTATAACATATACATATATAAATATTTTAACCATGAGAAATAATTTATGTGCATACAAACGGTTACAAAGCACAAAAAAAAACACATAATTTCAACTCACACAACATTTGCTCGCTTGCGCAAACAAATGCAACGCTGATTACATATACACACATACAAATGTGATTGATGCCCTTCGAAATTTCGAAGATATCGGTACTTTTAATAATGAAAATGGGCAGTGGGAACCTCCTTTTACAACACCAACAAATGCAGCCAACCATTATTGGACATTACGCGCCATTTGTTTATCTCACACAAAAATCCAATTTATTTCACAACACAAACACACACACACGTACACGCATGCCAACAATGTGTGGGTCATTGTTTTCTGCACAAACGACAATGGGAAAAACTTCTAACAACACACACAACCGACAACAACAGTAATTAAATGACAGCAACGTACGCATTGTTGACATTTTGCGCTCATAACAAAAAAAAAAAGCTTACATACATATAATTCTATTGGATGCTTAAAAGTTGGAGCGGTGAAGCGCAACGAATGCCGAATACCGAAATGTGACGAAAGGACGTGTTGAGCGACAAGAGATAGAAAAACAAAAAATTACACAAACAAACATGCCGCCAGCAGTCAGCCAGACTGTCTGTACGACTAAGTGACAACAATGGACGCCAGCATGTCCAAGCGCATACCGCGCTTCCACTTCTCACCTCTGTATGTATGTGTGTACATGCATGTATTTTCATCTATCACCATTTTCGCTTGACTTAGACACCATATGCTGCCATGGGGTGGGGCGGTGGTCTGGAGCAACACACATTATTGCTTAGCTGCGGCCTGGCTATGCGTTTTTAGGTTTGGCTGGCTCGCTCTTGTACTGACATAGCTTGCATGCTTGCTTGTTGGGAATGAAATTTCCCAGGACGAATTCAGTTGCAAACAGAGCGCCGCCGTGTACGGAAACCTTCGTTGGTGAAATAAATATTTAAATACAAGAGAAAAACTTAGCCAAATTAAAAATTCTGTTTAATTTTTAGAATCCACAATAACATCTAAATTGTTTGCAATTAAGGAGAGAAATAATTTACTAAAATAGTTCACAAACAAAACAGTGCAAATATAAATTTTTTTTAAAACAGAGCGAGAATTGTCAATGCTGAAAGTGTTTATTGTTGTGGAAAATGTTAAGAGGCCAGCTAAGTTTTCACGCTAAGCACTCAATACACTCACGCATTGAATTGTTGTATGCCATCAGCGGACGAGTATGTAATGTGTGCAAGTTCACACAAAAATAAATAATAATTTACTATAAGTATATACGAATGTGTTTATAAAGTTGACTGAGTGCTCGAGTCTGTGTATGTGTTTGAATGGCTTTGAGCAATTGAAAAAATTTTATAAAAAAAGTTTGTAGTTACTAATTCAAAACACTAGTTTTTTTTTCTTAATTTATGTTATTTTATTTTATGATGCTGCCATATGCAGGTTTAATCAACAAAAAGAAAGTAATATTTTTTATACACTTTCAATAATTAGACCGCTCGCGTGCGCGGTTATCACAAAAAAATTTTAAATGACTTATAAAAGCATTCTCCTTGGTAATTTGAATAGGTATTGGAAGTTATATTTTAAAATTTCTTAATTGAATATATTTTTTTATCACTTTTCTTAATAATCTTCTTAATATTTCATTATTTGCTTTATGTTTGTATATATATTTTTTCTATTTAACTTTATATCACTTGCTTTTTTAATGAATTTATATTAAATATCCGTTTCGATTTGTTTTTATATCCGTGTGGTTATATGTTACTTTTTTTTCTTTTCAGTATTTCTTATATATTTTTATTTATGTGCACATACATTTCAATTAAATAATTTTGTTTCTTAATAAATAAATTCTTAATATCTATGCGATAAAATGCAAATTCAAAAAATAATTTTTTTTAGTTTTAATCATAAACTTGGGATTAACATTTTTTTTATTATCTCTCAATCCGGTATTTGAGATTAGAAATTTGAAAATTTTTAATTAAGATGTTCGAGATTAAAAAAAAATTATTGAAATGCTAATTTAATTCTTTCTAATGCATTGTTTGCAACCATGGATTTAATATTTAAGATTTTTTAAATGACCTTAATTTTGAAAGAATATTTTAAATAATAGCTGAATTTTTTGTTGTCAAAACAACTTGCAAGCATTTATTTAAAGAACTTAATGTCAATTTCGTTTTCAAAAATATTTCTTCAAATTGTTCCTATCATATTTTGGTTGTCACTAACAAAGAAATTTTCGAAATATGCCAAATAATTAAATCTTCGATTTATTTAAAATATACAATTCGTAAACTCTTTAAATATTTTTCATATCATTTTAAAAACACAAATGTATTTTGTTTTGTACGCTATTTGTAAAAATATATGCAGATAAACAAATCTGGATCAAACTGCTATATTCTCAAAAGAAAATTGTAGCAACCCTCTCTTAAACTATAAGAAGTTTATTATTTGAAATTATTTGAAAACTTGGCGCAATTGACAAATTTTATTATTATTTGATATTATTAAAAATTCTTGGAATTCTTCTCTGTTCCCAACGATAATTTATTATATATATATTTTTTCAACACGTATGTTTTTATTTGCTTTGTCCATATTTTAATTTTTATTAACATTTCAATTTTTTTTTTATTAAAATTTTTTTTTAAATATTTTGGTTAATATTTTTATATTTTTTGCTAATATATTTTTTTTCTAATATATAAATTTTTTTTTTCTAATATATTTAATTTTTTTTCTAATATATTTAAATTTTTTCCATAATCACTTAGTGGTTTGTTTAATTTTATTTATTTTTGTCTTATAATTTATATTTCCTTTTAAGTATTATCTATATATCCATAGTTTCATCTTTAATTTTATTAACTAGCATGTAGTTACCGATTTCAATCGGACGTTACTTAATCTCGATTACACAAGTACATTTATACGCCGTGGCATGCGACTTATGTACAGCTGTGATCACCACACACCTACACATGCATATAAATATCTAATCATTACTTATGCAGTCATATGTAAAATAGCGTTTATTTGTAGTTGAATGTCACTTCCTGAGTCCTTCGTAAAACTATTCGCCGCCGTTCAAGTTCAATGCGATATCAATTGAAAGTTTTACAACACTATAAATAATTAAAGGGATCTATTGATTTTACAACCGCAATGCATTTACTTATCCGTAATGAGCGCAACCAACTACTGTTGCCTTACCTTCATTTCACCTCGTTTTGTTTTTTTTTGTAATATAAGTTGGATAATATTTATTTATTTATATGTTTTCCTTTCGCTGCTATGCTTAAGCGTTGGTGGTTCCCAGTTAGTTGTTTGTCATCTCTCTCGCTACGCTTCGCCTTGACTCCTATTGGGATTACTGTAGTTGTACTTGTAGTTGTAAACCGTACAAAAGCGAAGTCCATACAAGCGCATATATTTGAATATTTTATATAACCGTTAAATGCAAGCAATTCCATTGCATGTCGAGACAACTCGTCCATTAAGTGACCATTGACTCTTCTGCCCTGCTATGCAATGTGATGTCATGTCGCATGCCATGCGCTCGTCATGCGTTCGTGTGTGTTTGTTTTTCTTGAGTTTGAATGCTTTGGCGTGGTTCACCAGAAAGAGGTTGCTTTATTTCAAACTTTGTCTAGCTGAGATTTGAATTGAATTTTTTTAATCAATGCTCAATTTGTGTGGAAGGAAATGTTGATTGATTTTTACTAAAAAATTGTCGTACATTTTTTCATTATTTGTGACTTGGCGCGTGTTTGCTTACATACATACAAATATTCATTGTCTATAATTTATTTATTTACTTATTTTATTCTCAAAATTCTCTACAATCCCTTAGAAATCATCAAGATGTCCGAGTATTGGCTTATTTCAGCCCCTGGCGACAAAACCTGCCAACAAACGTTCGACACCATGAACAATCTCACCAGCAAACAAAATAATCTATGCAACAACTATAAGTTTCATATACCCGACTTGAAGGTAATTGTAATTTTTGGTAAAATATATTTATATTTTTGTGAAAAATTATAAAAAAAGTTGAAAATGTTTATATAATATAATTGTGTATGTATATAATTTCTTTATAATAATCATTCTTTATGAATTTTTTTCTTATAAGAAATTATAAGTAATAAGTAGGTTTTTTTTATACAAAAAAAATCCTTATCCAGGTTGTAGGAGAAAACGTTGCCTAGATTTTGGCACATTGCTGAATAACTTACGGAAATGTATTTCATTCGATTTTAGGTCCGTTATAAATTCAATATTCTGCAAAAAAACTTTGTTAATAAATTAATTTTAATTTTTTCTGTTATCATTTAATTGTTTTTGACTTTTTTTTAATAAAAATATTTTTTTTATAAAGACTCTTATAAAATATTAGTTAATCAAAAAAGTAACATTCTTTAAAATGCAATAAAAAAAATTTTGACCTAAAACTTTTGTAGTTGAAAAAAAATTTATATAAAAAATTAAAAAAAAAATTAAAACAATTAAAAAATTTTAAAATTAAGAAATAAAAAGAAAAACTAGAAAAAATTTTAAAAAATACAAAAACTTTATAAAAACATTTTTTTTATAAAAAAATTTTTAATAAACCGTAGTATGAAGCAATAACTACGATTAAAAAGTTATAAACGCAAAAAATTTAACGAATCATATTACGCTCTGAGTGCTTGTTCACTCTGGTGTACACAAATCTGTTAATTTTTCTCTAATAATCATTGCCAATCTTCCAGGTCGGTACACTCGATCAATTGGTCGGTCTCTCCGATGATTTGGGTAAACTGGACACTTATGTGGAGCAAATAACACGCAAAGTTGCCGCCTATTTGGGTGAGGTGCTCGAGGATCAACGCGATAAATTGCACGAAAATCTACTCGCCAACAACAGTAAGTACAAGTGCAATTACTAAACTACACACACATATGTTGGAATAGACTATATAAAGAACATATATACATATATGTACTTTAACAATAATTAGTAAATTTAGTTTGAAATATTTTGTTTGGTTTTAAGACTAAAACAATTTTCTTCTTACTTTTGACAAAACACATTTTTGTAGAAAATACCGAAAATAGCAGAAAAGCACGCAAGCAAAGCATACTTGTGTGCTTAATAAAAGAATTAACCAAAAAGAGCAAGAAGAAAGTTTTGTATACACTAACACCAACAATATGTTTTTTTTTTTTTAGTAGAAATCGTTTGGAATGTTGATTGCGTTGCCAAAATAGTAATTAAAATTAAAAAAATAAACATTAAAACAAAAAAATTCAAATAACAAAATTAACCGAAAGCGTATTAACAACAATTAAAATTGTGCATTTATTTTTGCAAAGCCTTTTAAATAAAACTTAACAATGTTTGTCTACCCAAAATGGAATGAAATAGTTGGTTTTACGTTTTGAATACCCCAAAATACGCAAATCGTGTATAAAACACACCCCCACTAGCGTTGATTACCATAAAAAAATTATTTATTAAAATTAATACGAAAACAATTTTACAAAAACTATTATTAAATTTAGTGCGTACAAAGTACAGATTTAAAAACTAATCGATTTTCAGCTGGAAACAAGCGGTGTCTGTAATTAATAAATAATTAAACAATATAAAACTCCTCTAAGTTCCCCTTTTTTCTTTGTTTATTATTTAGTAACTTATTATTATTTAGACTTTTTGGTTCTTGGTTTATTTTTGTGTTAATTTATTTCAAGTTGATTTTTTTATTATTTGTTTTCATTAATAATATTTGTTTATGTATTATTTTCAAAAAAATTATTTTGCTTTTTCACCAACTTACTTGTTTTTTGTGCTTTTTTCCATTTATTTCATTATCCAATTCATACGCACAATCATCACATCTCAGTCTGGCAACACTGTGTGTCGCTTTGTCGAGATGCGCTTCTTATAAGCCTTCTATTTTTTTTTCGTCTTATGCATACATGCGTTGAGAAGAATTGTAAAAGCAGTCATAAAAAATTATTGTGTTGTTGTTTTTTGTACTCTTTTTTTTTTAAGTGCCAACTATGTCATTTACAACTACATGCATACATACATACAACATTTACTACTAACAATTATTTACAAATGCAGACTGGCTATAAAGCTGCCACACAAACAAATATGCATACATACAAGCATATGTACATAACTTATATACAACGTACATATGTATTTTAGTGTAGGACTCCAGCTTATATTCATTCTACGACCATTTTTAGCGGCTTCACCCCAGTTAGCCTCCTTGAAGTCCCACACTTTGCCGTGTTATGGTTGGTCCAAATTTTCTATGGAACAACAATCCACAAATATTTTTCCTTTTTTCCTTTGTGCCCACACGAATAAGTTCAAAAACAGAATGACGCGTGATTAGGGTAATTCTATTTATTATTGAAATTTGGGTAGCTCAATTTTGCCCCACAATGACTAATCAAAAAAAAAAGTTGGAAAGACTGTCGTTGCCGGAATTTCGCATAGAAAGTTATTTGTGTAAAAAATATATATTGTTCGATTATTAAATGCAGTTATGTTTTAATATAACGCTCATATTATAATATTTATAATCGATTTTAGTTGCGAAAAAAATGTATAGTCCTATTTTTCATATACATATGTAAGTAATAAGGCAATAATAATGATAAAATTTGTTTTTAATACTCAAATCTCAGCAAAACTTACCAATCATATTTATTTTTATAAACCCATATTAATTTTTAACGAAATCGTTATCGAGAAATAAAAAGTTACGTCATGAGAGGTCGGTTGCAATTTCACAGTTTATAAAAATCCTAATCTTAAGAGTGCACTTAGTGAAAGATTATTTCATCTGAATCTCATAATATTTGTTATACTCATATTTTCGCACTTTTGTGATCATTCTATTAAAGTTTCGCGGTATTCGAGAACATTTTCCGTATTAACTTTAGAATCTCATATAAAACTTTAAATTTAGAAAACCGCATAGGCCAATATGAGCAAAAAAGTTAGCGATTTATCGATAACGTGGTAATAATTACCTTGGCAATCAAATAGAAAAAACGACAATTCTGATATAGAAAAAAAATCCATACCTTTTTGGTCTAAAAATAAACAATAACGCTGAAAAAATCAGCGATTTATCCCATCAGTTATCGATAACATCTTACTAATTAATTTAAAATAATAATAATTTTGATGTTAAAAATAAAACACAATTTTGGTCTAAAATTTTCCAAATTTTAAAAATAATGAGAAATGTCATGGAAATATTATTAAAAAAAAGTAACTTTTTTTATTAATTAGGTCATATGTATGTTCTCATACTCCCATAAATTGTTATTGGCCAATTTTGCTATTCCTTCAAGTTTCCATAACCTATTCCGTGCCTAAAACTGTAAACTTTGTAAATAAATTATTTGACATAATCAGAAATGAAAAAATTTATTTCATAAATATTATTTTAATAAATAAGCTTATAATTTAAATTATTTTCGTACATACTTACATCGATTGAAATTTCGAGTATCTCCTCATGTTGAGTATCGTCCATTTGTGATTTTAAACACAGCCATTACACTGAAAGCGTTTTACCTAATTTCATAGATGACATCAAATCTGCCACTTTGCTGACGTCACTTTAGCGAATTTTTACAAAAGTTGAAGTTTTGTTAGCCTCTTGTTTATAAAATACAGGGTTGTCAGCTGGAAAAATTTTATGTATTATCATCTCGTATTATTTGTTTACCGATAAACCATTTACCACAATAACAAAAACATCTTGCTAAATTAACAAATATCGACCGTTAACATTTTTTTCATTTCTGCTCATAAACTTAAAACATAAACTTCCTGTCACCGCACAATCTGACGCTAAACATTTTCATTTCTTCATTTTTTTCCGTAAATTTTTTTATTAACGAAATTTGTTGTAAAAATGTTATAAAAATATATAAACATATTTAATTTATTGGAGAACTGACATTGCCTCTGTTTTGAGAGCCAAATGGTTGATGTCCTCACCGGCTAGACTTGCCATGTAAAAATCGTTTAACCGACCAACCAATCGAACAACCAAACATCCACCCAGAAAACCAATTAGTTTTTAAATCATGCTCAGAGATAAAAACAGTGTTTTGTTGTTGTTCAATTGTGAATTTATTTACGTTCGTTCATTCGCTCGCTCGTTCGTTTGTTCGTTGTATCGTTAATTCAGTTCATTAAGAATCACTTTCAATACACACGCTCTCAACTTAATCGCAACATATTGTATTATTTGTTATTGTTTTTGTGCACTAATTGTTGTGTTCTCCATAAGGAACTTGCAACATTTATGTTTTTCTTTTCATATGGCAAATGTGTTTTTGAAAATATTATATAATGTTTGTGAAAGAACACTGACTTGAATTTGAATTGTGGGAAGTGCAAGCACACACCGCTATTTTTGGGAGATTTCTGTTTTGTTGTTATTTTGTGTATAAAAATTACTTTAGAAATATTTTTTAAAAAATCTTTGTAATAATTTTAATTGTGAATTTTTTTTTATACATTATATTTTTAATATAAATTTATTTTTAATATTTAATAATTAAAATTTGTTTTTTTTTAATTTTTTTTTTTTAAATTTTTTTTGTTTTTTAATTTGTTTTTGAAAATGTCTGCATGTGCATATGTTTGTTTGTATGTACATAGCGTTTTTATTTACAGACATATATGTGTGTATGTACATATGAGTTAAGATAGTTGCTGTGTTTGGACATGTTCGCTTTACTTTTAAGTTTGCAGACTAATCATATCGTCACTTATTTTTATTTGTTTAGCAGAGCTTTTAAACGTCAAATGAAAAATTAATTAAACAAATATATAGGATAACTAGATATTTGAAATATGAACATAATACGAATAATCCTAAAGGGGTTACATCCACTTGTGCATCTTAGAATTCTATATTTTTTCGCTCAGATATCAAATATACATATATTTGAAAATATATTCTGCGAAAATTTGTGGTTAATCCCGGAAATAGTTTCGGAGATAGGTCGACTTGAAATTTTTACAAGACCTTATATTCGTAGATATATTTGTCAGGTAATAATCGTAGGAATAAGATTTTTGATAATAATTTCAATTTGTTGAACCATTCTGAAATGTAAATTTCTTTACAAACTTGTTTTTTTGGGAAGCCGCCATTTTAGTCGTTACCTTTAGTGATCTATTACAATAATATTTTATTGTTTTAGAATTTGAGGTAATTTTAAACAGAAAAATCTTCCTCACCGCCAGACACCTTTTTTTTTTAAGTCCTCCTGAAGATTGGCTACAGGATCAAGGGCATCACAAATGTTTCAAAATTAATCAACGATTATTAAAGTTCATTAAATTCTGTAAATGTACAATAATTTTTATTTTTTTGTTAAATAAAATGGTTCTTCAAAAAAAATCACGAAAAACATGTTTTTTTCTGACTTGAAAGTGATTATGACCGCTTAATAGCACTGGCGTTCCGATATTTTAATGATTTTACCCCGATGGTGTAGGTTTTTGTTTCTTAATAGCATGGCACCAAAAGAGAGGAATATTTATGAGTTTGTAATACAATTTATTATAGTATAAACTATCATAGTAAATGTAAATGATATGACGTTTAAAAGTACTCTGCTTTATAAACTTATAAATGTACATTAGGGTGACTGTAATTTCATAAGTTGATGATTGCAGTTTTTGCCCGAAAAAAATATTTAATCCAAACAAGTTCTTGATTTTAAATTTAAACCGTGCCTAAGTTATGTATCTGCTCTCATGTCAATAACATGGAATTAAAAATTTTAATACTTTGCATTAAACAGGCAAACTTATAACTTTAAAATTTTATATTCTGATACAAAAATGAGCGCTTTACAAAAGAGATGCTATTGATTTTCTCCACAAAAACATTCCTTTAAAAGTTATACGCAGTTAAAGTTATAAAGTATTAAAGTGTACTGTAAAATGGTACACCATGTCGTATGAGCAACCGAGAATGTGTAAATCACTTGCATGAATGCTCAGTAGATTTGATGTATAACTTTGACTGTGTATAACTTTTAAAGTAATTTTTTTATGCAGAAAATCAACAAGACCTTTTTAGTAAATCGCTAAATTTTGTATTAGGACATTCTATTTTTAAAGTTGTAAGTTTATTTGCTTTGGAGATAAAAAAAATTAGTACAGAAGAAGATAAAAATAATACCAATTAAAATAAAAGCTTGTTTACTCTGGAGATTTTTTTTTAGAAACTTGGGAAGTAACGGATACCCTAATGTACATATTTATATTAATAATTATTCTTAATTTTTTATTAATTTTGTACATATTTGTGATTATGTAAAAACTGCTTTGCAACATGCTACAATATATATTTGTTATGCTGAAATGTTCGTTTTGCTGCACTGTACATGCAAAAAAATTATGTTCAAAGAATTTTTTGATATATTTTGCTAACGTTTAAATGTTTTTGCAACTCATCACTTAATTTTGTATAATTTTAATTTAATTAACCTTCTTAATCAATACTTAATTTATGTTTCGATACTTTCTTATTTGAACTTACTCTCTAAGAATACAAACCTTGTCGTTTAGCGCGCGATTTAACTTCATGAGTAACAATTTTAGTGCATTTATGTATGTAGTAATTAATTAAAGCAAATTTGCAAGGCTTCTAACAAAGTGCCGAACGTCAAACTAAACAAATCAGAATAAATCATATATTCTTACATTAGAAATATTTTTACAAATTATACTATTGCAAACTCTAGGGAATAAATTAGATTTTTTAAAACATTATTTCTAGTAAATTCGATTTAATTTTGTTATAAGATGCTCTGTTTATTATTTATAAACCAATTTAAATGCCTTCCTCTTGCACTGAGGAGCGCATTTAAAGTATATTTCTTTTAATGTGCAACTCAAATGTTAAATTTGTATTTTTTCAAACTGAAAATTATACCTGAAATGAATGAAAATCCAAAAACTAAACCAACACCGGTTCAACCAATGAATGAAACAACCGGCGAAAAAAAAAACAAAATCTAATAAAAAACTGGAAAAACTTGCTGCGCACTTATCCTGCAACCGACAATTGCAAACAACTGTTATCCTGCGAACGTGTTACACAATGGAATGTTTGCCTGTCACGCACACTATAAAAAAAAACACACACACACATCTATGTACGCACACACTTACAACAATTAATTTACTACATGCACAACCAACAACAACACTATCGATACGGATTGAAAACGAAATCGTAATCGAATTTGATACCGTTACTATCGTGGTCACCGTCACCGCCAACATCCTCACAACCCCCCTGCCCTCGAAAACTGCACGCACAACGTCGTCTACCTGACGATCGATCGATCCACCGACCGTTTGCGACTGAATATTTCGCCCCTTGTGCCAATTGTGTCACCTAACAACTACCGTTACATGCATATTTGACTATGCATATGTATATGTGTGTGTTTTATATGTGTACAATATATATATATATATGCATATGTTTGTGTATATGTGTGTGTGTGTATGTATGTAACAGGTCCGGGGCCGCCCGACGACAACACGCATGCGCATACGGAATTGACGGGTAAAGCATCAAATTTATCGAATAGTCGTGACACGACCACTACCACTACCACTTGTTCCGCATGCCACACCGGAAGCCTAAATAATTGCTCCTCTAGCGAGGCATCTGCAGCGTCTGCGTCTGAGCGTGAATTCGATTTGTGTGCATCGTCGCCTGTGTGCGCGTGTGATGAATGTGCTGCCAGTGCCAATGTGAGCGCTAGCGTTAGCGCGAGCGGCGTCAGCGCCTGCGCTAGTGCGAGCGCCACAGCCACCACCCTTGAGGCTGATGAATGTTATCCTTTTACTTCTTCCTCCCTGAATGTGCCTACATGCCATGCGTCCGTCATCGCATCCGCAACCGCATCCGCATCCGCCAATGCCTACGCCTACGCCTGCACCTCTGCCGCCGATTGCGCATCCGCTGCCGTTGTTGCTAATAATGCCTCATATTGCTCCACATCGGCGCCCACCACAATGGTCGCTGATGAGCGCCGCAACGCTGCTACTACTACTTCTACTACTACCGCTAGTAAATTTTTTAACAGCTTTTCCAGCAACAATAACAACAACACATGCAACATAAATAATAATAATCGTTTGGGTTTGACGATCAGTTGTAGCGGCGCAAATATGCTGCAACTGCATCAGTCACAACAGCATCATCCCCACCAACAGCACCACCATCACCAACAACAGCAACACCACGAACCGCTTCACCTACAACATCCGTTGTTGCAACAACATCACCACCACCACCATCATCATCAACAACAACAACTCCACCACCACCACCATCATCATCACCACCATCAGTCGCCGCTGTCGGACGGTGGTGAGGGGCACGAACAGCAGAACCTGAAGGGCAGCAACAGCACGTCGGATTTGAGTGATACATTCGATTGGTGGTTTCATAGGCATAAAAGAAATTCAAAAAAGAGCAGGTATCTACAAATCACAAGAACAAATCACTCATTAACGTACCCATCCACATCCTACACTAGCCAACACCTACACCAAACACCAAAACACCCAACACCAAATACCTTCAAAACCCAAAACACACCATACCAAACCAAACTACACCCACCCAGCCAGCCGAAATGCTAAATAAGCAATACACAACAACAACAAAAACAAATAATTCAATCAACTTAACACAAAACAACAACAAGAACAACAACAGCTATAGTGAAGATGAGCGCCATGCAAAGAGAAGAGATACAGATCGACCCACGAAAGGCGAGAGCCAGTCGTTAAGCAATTACGTAAATGTTCAAACATGATGAGATTAAGATTAATAAATACAAAAGAGTACATTTCAACATACATATATATATTTATATTATAATTTTTTTTTTGAAATCGCAAAAGAAGTCACTGTTTTGTAAGATTAGATTTTTACTGAAGTAAATTTTTATAAATTAAAAAAAATAGAAATGATATTACCATCGGTGTAAGTCGAAATCATCTAATCGCTTATACCGTTTTATTTTTTTAAATAACAACCGTTATATGCCGAACATTTTTTTTATATAAATGTATCTATACCGACAATGAAAAATCTAACTTTACGAAGAAAGCACCTCATTTTGATCGATCAGTTTATATAATAGCTATATGCTATAGTGGTCCGATATGAAAAATGTAAGCGGAGATTGTAGCGTTCGCTGCACAATATATGCCAATTTCGTGAAGGCACCTTGTCAAATAAAAAAGCTTTTCATACAAAGACTTGATTTTGATCATTCAATTCGCATTAGCGATCCGATATTGGTCCGATGTGACTGAGGAACTATGTAGTTCGCGTATACACAGACAGACGAATATGGCGTCATCGACTCAGCAACGTCACGCTCATCATTTATATATATATATATATGTATAAATTGTATATTATTTTCTAAGTTCTCCCAAGTTTCCTTATGGGCGTTACAAACTTCGTGGCAAACTTAATACACCCTGTTCTAAATTGCAACCTCCTCACTTGTATCGGACATTATCCTCTTTAATTAACGTTTTAATTTTTCTAATTCTACCAGAACAGCAATGACTTTATTTGCGATTTTTATAAATACTTTACTTGATATAAAGTTTAAAAAAAAATAAAAAATTCACATAAAATTTGTAATAATTAGCAAATTCAAAATTATTCATTTGATAAAATATTTAGATTACCACATTTCAATCCCAATTAACACTACTCGCGTCAGCTTATGATTTTTTTCGAATAATATAAGAAATTAGACGAACGTATGATAATTATTAACAAAAAATTTACATATGTTTGCATAAGAAAAATCTAGAGCAATAAATTCTGCAGCACGTACATACACATTACGGTGTCTGTTATTTTCCAAGTTAATTTTTTTTTTTAAACGCGCTTTTCTATTTAAATCGCGCCTAAATAATTTTATTTTTCGCATATATGTAGTTTACATGGAATTTTTCATCTCCAAACCAAATAAACCTACAGATTTGAAAAATATATTCTACTGCAAAATTTTCTGTTCTACAAAAAAAGTCTTAATGGGTTGTTTTTTTTACACAAACGTTTCTGTAAAAGTTGTGCGCAGTTAATGTTATGCATCAAATGTACTGTATTCGTACAGTACACCATGTCGTATGAGCAACACGGAATGTGTAAATCACTTCTATGAATGCTCAGTACATTTGATGTACAACTTTAACTGCCTATAATTTTTAAATAAATGTTTTTATGAAAAAGATTAAGAAAATATTTTTTATAGAGTGAAAAATTTTGTGTTAGAATATCACTTTTTCCAAATTGTAGATTTACTTGTTTAATGTAAAATATTTAAAAATCCTACGTTATATGTATATATGGGTAAAGAAATTATAACTTAGTCATTGTTTAAATTGGTTGAATTGGGCTTGATTTCATAGGAATCTTTTTTTATGGCAAAACTTGAAACTGCAGGGAGCCTTTGCAAAACAAAATTCAAATTGGGGAAATAACGGACACCCTAATACACATAAACATACCAGCAAACGATAATGACAAAGGATATACGCAAACGCACGGAAAGCATAGAAGCGCACAAATTAGACACAGATATACATATATACATACATAGATTGTTATGTCCACATATACTTAAAATGCCAACATTTTTACCATCCACAACAACACATTTAACGCCCACCCAATGAACAAACAACAAAACAAAAAACAATCGAAGTAAGCACTTGCACACGTTCAATCAGCGATAACCAATCATGCACCGATCGGTAGATTCATCAAACATAATTAATTTCCAGAATTATCGATTTTCAAATTTATACAAATACACTTACATACACATATACATACATACAGACATCAAATGCACCCGTTCACCTAAATCAAAATTGAAATTACTGAAAAATTTGCCAATGTAAACCTAACCAAATCAATCCAATCACGTCCAACAACGCGCGCCTCGTTATCTCTCTTTCTCTCTCTCTGTGTCTCTATCTCTCTCTCGATGCTCATTTTTTATAGCAGTCGCTCATCAACGTTTCAATTAAATATAAACAATGGATTTAATTTCACACCAACTCATAGATCGTCCCCAGTGAGTAGTTGTTGTGGCAGTAGTAGTCACGGTCGTTCCAGTCCGGACACAGATTTGGGCGAACCACCGGCATTCCCATTAAGTCCAGGTTAGCATACCTGGTTTACAATTATATTCTAAATATTGTCATTATTTTTTCAACCAATTATGAATTATAGTTTTTTTTTCTGTTTTTTACTAAAGATTTCCGTTCTTTCAGTTAACTTCATTTTCTTGGATTTTATACAGATATATTATTATTCTTTCGTTATATTTTGCAATCACTTCTTCGGTTTTCTTTATGAAAACAACTATTTCACCTATGATTTCACAAATTCCACTTTGTCAACTTTTCTCTTTCTATCACACACGTTTTGTTTTCTACTTCGCTCTGCGCACACTTTGCCTACTCGTATATAATATCACAGCAATTTGTGTAAATTATTTTGTAAATTTGCCAAATATGTTAGTAAGAACATGTAAATCATAACTGCAATATACAAATACAAGGCATACATAATCTTATTTATACAAGTATGATCATAAATATATACATAGCAATGTGTAAGGTGACTCATAAAGTTTGTTATTAAGCGCAATAAATAAGAAATGCGCCTAATGGTAGGCAACTCATTTTATATGAATAATGAAAATTAATTATATTTGTCATTATAATTCGTCATCTAATTCATATAAAAGTTGGGATGTCGAATTGAGAATTGTAGGATATATGTATCGATGTTTTATATTTTTATATTAAATGTATCGATATTTTTGTATTTATTTTTCTTAAATACTGAAGCCCACGATTTCATTTTATCTGATTCTGAGTAATTAAATTGTGCTTTTTTCTTTATATTATCACAATTTTTTCCAAAGAATCCATATTTAATAGATATGGAACTATTTCGAAACTTGCTACATAAGTTTTCGTTTCTGCAACATTGAAAAATATATAAATTCAATATGCCTCCCGTACAAAATATTCGCTTGAAATCTAGTCCTTGTAGATATCTTCACCGAATTTTACATAAATTATTATTTAAAACAGCGCTCCAATCTCCAAAAAATTGTTCAGAACGAACCACTATATCATATAGCTGCCATACAAACTGAGCGATCAAAATCGAGACAAAGATCTTTTTATACTCTCTTTGCTATAAGAAATGCACTTATGAAGCTTTGTTTTTTTTTTATTTTGTGGTGCTAGAAAACCCGTGTTAGATATTATTTACCGATACATTGATTTTTGAATAGAGATTTTACAAAATTTGTGAAGAGTATTTGTTTATAAAGGAATACATTCTGAAATATTTCATTATTATAAAAAAAGAGAAATATGCCACCGATAGCTTTTTTTTATTCTTTGAAAATGTATGCGTTACAAATCTGTACAGAAATTTTTTCTTTCGTATCACCAAAAATTGTAACTCGTTTTTAATATTGCTCAAAAAATTAAAAAAATAAGTAGATAAATTTATATGAAATTTGTAAAGAAAATTTAGGTTTTCATGTCCAAAAAATTATTTCTTACTTTTAAAAATTTTTAAATTTTTTTTTTTTTAAATTTTTTTTAAAATATTTTTTATCTCATCGAACTACTTTATGAGTCATCGCATATCGTTATTTTTTATCGGCGATAACTGACACATTTGCATATTGTACATCAATAAAACAGAAGAAAGAAAACAATATAACACTAATTTAGTAATTTACTTGTTTATCCTTAAATTAAATAAATACACAAACAATTTGAGTTCTTGAAACAGTTACTACTCAAACCGTGTAATATTTTGTACAACGATTCCACAGACTTCCAAAACACACCACCCTTTCAACAAAAAAGAAAAGAAAAAATACTATTACCACACATAATACATACATATTAGTACATACGTGTATATATGTATGTATGTATGTGTATTCCACACATGTACATATATAACATCCGATTTCTTCCATTTCCCCCCCCCCCCCCCCCCCCACCCTTTCACAGTCAGTCTTTCTTTTGCGCTCGTTCAGTTGTGTTTTATAAATAATTGTTTTTGTTGTATTTTTAACTTGCTATTGCAGGCATATTAGTTTATCTTACTGTCAGATGGACTTTTTACATTTTTCATTCAAACTATGATTTGTGTGTGATATTTTCTTTGCTCTATTTTCACGCCGCACAGTGTATAATGCTGATATTCTGATATTCCTTGAGTGTTTGCCACCATCACTAGCTACTTGCATACATAAATACATACAACCATGTGCATAGATGTATACCATACATAACTGTCAATGTTGTCCACCAATTGTGTCCATGTGTTGTGCTCCACAACTCACCACCACAACCACTACTATGTGTACCACCCACCAACGTTCACCGCTCACTGCTCATCTGCGCTTCCAATAAGCGTTCAAATGACAAAATAAAAGTATATTTGTGCCATAATTGTGCCGATATTATAATTAAATAAAATTTATTTGTTGTTGTTATTTTTTTAAGTAATCAAGGGTCGTGTGTATTTTGTTGCTGCTGTTTTACTACTATTTTATGCCAAAAATTGTATGTTCCGACAAAATGTTAAGAACACAGTCAAATTGTATTAATGCGAATTTTATATAAAAAATATTGTGCAATATTTATTTAATATTTTTTATGATTATTTTAATTGTAATAGTGTAAATTATTTTTAATTTTGCTATTTTTTTTTAATTTACTTCCAAAAATTATATATATAAAATTTGTTTAAAAATAAAATGTTATACTTCCTTTCTATCCATTGTTATATAAATGTTTACTCTTATTTGCAAAGAAATTGTTAAAAATATGAAAATATATTGTATTTTCGACTTAAAAAATGTTATTGTTATTTATAATTTTTTTATACAAGTCCACCAACAAATTTAATTATAATTTTGTTATTTATAATTATTTTTTATGAAAATATTTATCTCCACCGTAGCGTTTAAGCTTTAGCTCAATATTTAAATCACAACACTTTTGTACGCTAGTTATTTATTTATTGTAATACTTAATTATAAGCTTGTTTATGGTATCTCAGTTACTTCATTGCTTGAAATTTGCTAATTGTCCAATCTTGTTTAACAAATTTTGTTCAATGTTATCAATAATATTTTGTGCTACTTCCAATTTCTGTTTTGCCGCCCCTAAAAAAACCTTACTATAACTGTTATGTCTCCCAAAAATGGTCGTGTGTTTGTTGCTGTGACTAACATAACTAAATATGTACTATAATACTACTATTTTATTGTCGAAATTCCAAATTTTATTCACATTCTTAATAGCTACTAAATTATTTTAATAAAAAATAAAACCACCACTTACATTTAAATACAATGTATAACTTCAATGTGTTGTTAAAAAAAACTACTTAACTCGAGTAATAATGCTTTTGAAACTTTTTCACACTTCTTTATTATTAATTTTTCTTATAAAACGTAGATTTGAGCTGCCAATGAAATTTCAAATTTATTACTAATTAAATTTAGCTTAGCTGTGGCTTAAATCTACGCTCAAGGTCAAATGCTTACCTTATTTTAGTTACTCGAAATTGAAAACAAACAAATTTTTCAAAAATACGCAAGCATTTGGCCTTATTTTTTCTATAATTAATTATTCTTTTCAATTACCTTTTTTTTACATATCAATTTATATATTTGCATATACTCTATAAACTCTTATTTTACATATTTAAATTTTTTTCCATATACCAAGTATGCCACTAATCGTATTTTCCATCTTTTTCAACATCGTCTTCATTTTCGCGTTATTTATTAACTTCGTGATCGCTCGTCAAATTTCCATACGCACAGCCGATCTATCCGTGTACATTACCCGCTTTCAATGGGATATGGCTAAGTACCCGATTAAGCAGTCGTTGCGCAATATTGCCGATATTATTTCGAAACAAATTGGGCAAATCGATGCGGACCTGAAGACTAAGTCTACGGCTTACAACAGTCTTAAGGGTAACTTGCAAAATCTGGAGAAGAAGCAAACGTAAGTGTGACAACTTTATATAACAAAAATTTTATATATTAAAGAAAGAAGTTGGAAGTATAATTCAGGCGCTCTTCCAGCTAGTTGTCTTTAAAGAATAAAAATTAATTGTGGTAAAAATACAATATAACCTAATTTAATTTGCATTTTATCTGCCTTAAATTTACAGCGGAAGTTTGCTGACCCGTAATTTGGCCGATTTGGTCAAGAAAGAACATTTCATTCTCGATTCGGAGTATTTGACCACATTGTTGGTAATTGTGCCAAAGTAAGTCCACTCCAACCCAATTTAATTCTTAGCTTTCGTGTGTTTTATAAAAACATTTCCGCTTTTTCTTTGTAGAATTCTTGCTAACGATTGGTTAGCCAACTACGAGAAGATCACTGACATGATCGTGCCACGTTCCTCGCAATTGATCACACAGGACAATGATTACTGCTTGTTCAATGTGACACTCTTCAAGAAGGTGGTTGAAGAATTCAAACTGCATGCGCGTGAACGCAAATTCATTGTACGTGACTTCGTCTATAATGAGGAGGAATTAGCAGCTGGCAAGAATGAGATGACTAAGCTCATTACCGATAAGAAGAAGCAATTTGTAAGTATTATATATACATTAGGGTGTCCGTTATTTCCCAAGTTGATTGCAGACGTCTCCTAATGTTACAGTTTTTGCCCTAAAAAAAGGATCCAATGTAAACAAGCATTTTATTATGCATATAAACCGTCATATATCTTTTCCCTTGTACTCCTAAATAACATCGGATTTTTTGATAAAAAAATAAAGGCAGTTAAAGAAGTACATCAAATGTACTGAACATTCATAGAACACATTCTGTGTTGCTCATACGACATGGTGTACTGTATGAATACATTACATTTGATGCATAAATATAATTGCGCATAACTTTTAAAGGAATACGTTTATGAAAAAACTCATTCAGAGCTTTTTTGTTGAGCGGAAAATTTTGTATTGGAATATCATCTTTCCAAAGTTGAAAGTTTATTTGTTTTGGAGATAAAAATTTATTGCAAAAGTTTAAAAAATCTTAAATTAAATATATGGAATATATAAAATGATTTCAGCACAATTTAAATTGAAAATGAAAAGCGTGTTTACGTTGAAACCTTTTTTGAGGGCAAAAACTGAAACTTCAGGTGACGTTTGCAAAAAAATCAACTTGGAAAATATCGGGCACCCTAATATGTCCGAGTATACACACATATACTTATTTATTTAATAATTATAATAAAAATGATATAAAATTTGTATATTTTCATTCCATAGGGCCCATTGGTCAGATGGTTGAAGGTGAACTTCAGCGAAGCTTTTTGTGCTGTGGTGCATGTGAAAGCGCTGCGCGTTTTTGTAGAATCCGTTTTGAGGTGAGTGGTATATGTCTTGATATGAATAAGTCAGTCAGTATCTTGAGAAAAAACTTATATTATTTTCAATCGGCTATTAATCTATATATAACCTTATATAGAGCAAAGGTTCAAAGCATATTTAGCAAAAAGGACTGCTAATCCGATTTGAATAATTTGTTCGCAGTTGTAACGTAGTCTAAGACAATAACTTATGCCGAATTTCGTGAAGATATCTCATCTAATAAAAAAGTTTTTCATAAAAGGAGTTAATTTGCATAGGTTAGTTTGTATGGCAGCTATATGATATATTGGTAAAATTTATACAATATGTTTGGAGATGATAAGGCTACCTTTTACAATAATCTATGTCAAATTTCGTGAAGATAACTTGTCAATAAAAAGAATTTTCAATACAAGGACCTGATTTTGCTCAATCTGTGTATATTGATTTTGCAAAACCAATTAACTTCGATAAACTTCGCTTTCTTCTACTCTACAGATACGGCTTACCCGTAAATTTCCAAGCCATCCTCATCGAACCCAACAAGAAGAGCGTGAAACGCCTACGTGAATGCCTTAATCAACTGTATGGACACTTGGATGGTGCTTCTGCTGGCGGTCAGAGCAATGCCAGCATTGATGTAAGTTAACATTGCGCTTATTCCCATTTTTTGACATTCAAATAACTTCCATAAATATACACTCTTTTCGCATATAGAATGTTGACATCCCCGGCTTGGGCTTTGGCCAATCGGAATACTTTCCCTATGTGTTTTACAAACTGAACATCGATATGGTGGAAACAGCAAAAATCTAAAGTTCTTTTGAGTTGAACGCTCAACAATCCAATTTAGCCTAATCACAAATGAAATGAAGAGAAATACCTTTACAACTATGTTTACAAAACAAGAGAGAAGAAGCAACAAACTATAATTATCCTACAAGTAAAACAAAAGCAAACGATAAAAAAGTTTATATAAATCTTTAAAATAGTATAAAGAAAATTACTAAACCATCTGTATGTATGTTGTCAGTTCCACGTTCTTTGTTCGATATATTACGCGGCATAAACGTTCGGGTGACAGCGCAGTGCAAAACGATAAGAGAGGAGTGAGGTGTACGCGCGCTCGCCATGTCATGTAAAACAAAAGTATAAAAGCAATGCTTTACATATATATACTTATATACGCATATATATATGTATATATATATATATACATATGTATATAATATATGTATGTATAAATATTTCGCGTCTTCTACGAAATTTTGTAGTTATTTCTGCATGTTGTTAAAATTTTAATTAGTTTCATTTATATACATATATTTGTTTTATCTTAGTTTGGAAAAAAGTTAATTTACACGCACACATACATACACATACTAAATTCTTCTATTGTGTTTTTGAGAGAGAGCATTGCTGTTAAAACCAATTTCGTCATCAAATTTTAATGCCGAGTCTTGACTGCAGTGGTTCAAGTGTAATTAATTATAGAATATATATAGTAGGTTTCTTCGTTTCGTTATTCTACTTTTTGTGTGGTTTATTAAGCCAATTTGACAGTATTTTCTATTTTCCTTTACATCTGTCGTTGTGTTGTTAGTTAAATAAAAAACTCTTTCTGCAATTTTCGCCATCAATTCAACAACAGTGGGGTAAATTTTTGTTTTCAAACCAAATTTTATTAAATATTTTTGTTAAACTTAGCCTTTTAGCGCAAATTATGTCCGAGTACGTTGCGTTTTGCTTTCATCTATATAAAAATAGTCAAAAATGGTTTTTCTTAAGCGCAAAATTACGTTAGGCCATTAGTTGGTGAGGTAATTCGTAAGCATTAAAGCAATTATACAGCCATTGTACTTTTATATACATATACGCATACAAAGAAAGATATGCTTGCATTGATTTAACGGTTAATTACAAAAATTTAATAATTAGAAAATTGTTCTTGGATTTGTTTTACAAATTCATAGTTTTGGTGTACATACGGGCAACAGGCAAATCAAGAAGAACACAAAGTGAAACTTTAAAGTAATTAAAATAGAATGGGAACAACATCATCATTTAATATTATTAGAGTTATGAAATAAATCAACAGCGTACTAAATTCAATAACAATGCTAATATCTAGCATAAAGTGTATATTTACTATGTGTATGTTTATTGTTGTTGTTGAAAGAAGCTAGCATACATATATACTGCGTGTTTTTTATGAATAATCATACTGTACAACTGGCGCCATATTGCTTATGTTAAACTAAAAAAAAATTTTAATAAAGCCAAGAAATATTATAAATAATGCGCATAAAAGGACATATGAGGGAGGGAAGCCGCAGCGCAGTTGTGAACTTTTGCTAAAATTTTGTTTCTAAAAGTAAAAGCACTTGCGAATTGTAGTTTACATTTTAATTTCATCTATGCAATAAACGCGCGTGCTTCCCTAACGCAAAGCAAAAACACCGCTTGGTGTCCTTTAACCCCTACAACATTGTTGCGAAAGAGAACGTACAATAATATTTGTAAACTCTAAACTTAAAAGTAAAATAATTATATATATACATACATATATATTATTGTTATAAAAAATGAATATTTCAAATTTTATTGCGTATTAAAAGAGGTACACATTCAACTTACATAAACTTACAGAATTATATACACTTCCACAGACACATATACATATACACTCACACATACATACCTACTTTCAAGCTACACAAGAAACAAAACTTATTTTGCAACAGAAAAGTGAAAACCAAACCAAACTCTATGTAAATGTACATAAGGAGTATTTAAGCAGTCAGTATGAAAACATAAATAAGTTTGATGAAGCGTAAAAGAGTAACGAGCTAACGCCATCCTTGTAAATAATTATACGAAAAAAAGACATTCCAATTTTGTTGTTTTTTCTAATGGGACGCTCTGCAGTACTATGAAACAGGTAATGGAAATGTTAACGCCAAGAGGTGGTAAGCTTAAAAAACAGGGTTGTCCTTAAAAATCTATCGACTTTAACACCATTGATAAAATTAAGTTTGAATCGGCTTAGAGAATGTTGAAACGTGTTGGAGAATTAAAAAAATGTTAAATTATTTTATTTTTTGTCCTCTAAAATCGATACAAATGTAATCAAATCCAAGTTTTAGTCGCGTTGGCGTCGTTCAAGGTGTGTCACGCAGAGAATAAAGTCTAGAAAAGAATTTCTGGAAGTAAGTCTAGATGATAGAAAAAACAAGAAAAAAACATGCACCGAAGTTATAATACCATTCACGAATGTATCTATTATAGCATAAAAGGGTATAAAAAGTTCTTTATCTTTATTTTGAACGTTCAGTTTGTATGGCAGCTATATTTTATAGTGGTCCGTTATCGGCAATTCCGACAAATGGTCAGCTTCGTTGGGAGTAGAGGACGCATGTTCTGATTGCTATCTTGTATTGCCTTCAAATATCAGTTTTGCCTTCCCACACTGCGGAAAGAATTAAAAAATATTGCTCTATAAATGAAATAGTTATATCGTTCTAGCTCATCAAAGCCTAAAAGCGCTGTCAGGCTCAATTGAAAAAACTTTCAATTTTCATCTAAAATGATAGATTTGCGGCAGCAAAAATGTCAACAACTAGATTTTGCTTTATTAATTTAAAAACCTTAAAGCGCTTATATATGTATATTATTAAAAAATCAGCTACTTATAACGGTGAATGAATGTGCATATGTTTATCTCATTGCATTTTCAATCGAAGTTCCACGCATATGTCTAATTTGATTTAACGCTCATGCTCTGCTTCCAATTTCATCAAACGCTTCTTGGTTTGACGACGTTTGCGCAAATTATCATATAAACGCACTGAGAAAAAGTAAACCAATTCGATGAGACTCAAACTGGAAATGCCCATAAATAAGCCGAGAATGCCACCCCAGTTAGCTATCAAGGTGGCGATGCTGAAGAGCACAGTGCGCTTGATTGCCGTGAATTGATGCTCCTTGAAGTAGACCGACAAGCGCGAGCCCATGAAACTGTCAAAGGAATAATTATGAATTAGTGAATTAATTATTGCATGATATAGTCATACTTACTCCTCATGCTCGTAGACCTCACGGAAAGCCTGTAATGTTTTGTTCAGCTCATAGCGTGCACTCGAAATCTCCACATTGTAATCAAGTGAGGTGCAGGCTGGCATACAGTCACAAATGATTTTCATATTCGGGTCCATAGTGGCCTGCATAGTTTGATTCTGAATTAGGATGCTCAATTCAGACTGAGCGGTATCATAGCAGTTTATATCATTCACAGCGCAGACGGGCACATCTTTTGGCTCTAGGGGAAGCAACAATTGAGGGTTAATCATACACACATGTATATTAAAGTGATGGAGAGGCTTACTTGGCATCCAAAACTTTGCACAACCACATTTACTGATGGTGAAATTGGTTAAACACTCCACCTGACAATTGGATTGTGAATAGGAGCGGAAATAACGCAAATAACGTTCGTCATTGAAGTAGCACTGGCGTCTGAAATGAGAAATTGTAAACTAATGCCGCGTACTTAGTTATATATATAAATGATTTCACTTCTCTGGACTGAAGTCATGCAGATTATCCGTGGATATAACATAATGCGGCAATACGCTAACCATCACCTCGTCCCCATGCGGCAGCAAAATGTAATTACTCGTTGTCACCGGCACGCTCTCGGGAGACGTGAGAAAAACCTGTGAGGCGAGCCAAAAAGGAATAATTTATTAAATTTCTCTTAATATTGAAATGAGCTCTTCAAAAGAGTGTGTATATATTTGCAGTTGGTGGCTACTAGTAGCTGTAGTCACGGAACGATGGAAATACCAAAAATATTGCTAACCATATGATGTCATCGCTTGAACTCCCTTAGAAATCAAACAGAGCATCATATTTTAGGTCTGGCATATTATGTCTAAATTTCGTCTCAAAACATGCACGAGTCGGCCCCATTTTCTTTTGAGAATTTTGATCCATACAGGTGCTTGATTTGTGCGCGTCCGTAAGTTCGTGTTAGAGATGGCTAGGAGCCAGAAAATGCGGCGAATATTGCGAAGGCAGCAATGTGTGAAAACCTACAACTTTTGTACGTCGGAGGCTACGAGATTCCAGTTCGTGAAAATGCTTTTAGGTGACTTTGATGAAAATCTTAGCACCTTCTTGGCTAATCTTAACTACTTGTATTATATGTTTACCATTATTACCTTTCGTTTCGACCCACCTTATACCCTTGCTTAAAGCTTCGACAAGTATATTCGAAATTATGCTGGAAACCTTGTAGAAAAGCAAAAAATCCATTGCGCGCCGATGAAAATGCTGTACGTTGAGGATAAGAATTATAGCCTTGGCCCACATAGCCATCATCCAATGACCAATTGCCGGTTAGCTCGTTGAAACGTGGCAGCGGTTCGAAAAAATTGTTGAAATCGACCACGTCTTCATCATAATAATTTACAAAGCTGCAGAATTTGGCAAGGGATTAAATGAAAGTAATAACCCCCAAACAATTCGTAACACATTACCTGATATCTCGATATATATCCTTAGCTTGTAGACCATTGAACTGATAGCAAATACCTTCGTCGGTTGCCACAAAATTAAAAATTTTGTCACAAAAATAGAATCGACCATTCCATTTACAAAAGGGGCCCGTCTCGTTCTTCGAAATGGAGATATCGACTAGTGTTTGCGTAATATTGGGTCTAAAGTCCTTCGGTAAATATTTTGAAAAGCGTTGCACAACTTCGGATTCGCAAATGTGCAAAGTGGACATGAAGCGCTCCATACTACGAAGGAAAGTATAAGCATACATACATACATACCTATATCTAACTATAAACGTTCTAAAACCTTACTCCGTTTCGCTTATATCTTCATAATTTTGGAATGAGCCATATTTTTGTATCTCCTCCAATATGCGACTTGAAACGTTGGTAAAATCAAACATATTGCGTTCCATTTTTATTTCCGGGCATATGGTAATTGTGGGGAAGGGTATCTTATGCACAGGCACAAGAGTTTCATCAAAACCCAATATGACAGGTGTGTCCTGCCATTTAAGGTAAGTGGCCCAAATGAGCGAAATCGCAAAATATACCGAAATTACAAGCACAATGAACCAATATAATCTGCAAATTTATTTTATAAAAAAAAAAAAAATTATTATAGTCGCTATTTTAATTAACACTCATTCAAAACTTTCTACGCTTGCAATATCTCACTTCTCATAAAATGGCCTATGCAATTCCACTAAGTAACGTAGTCCATGAATGGTTGTATTCTTCGAATATTCCATAATTAAGCCCTTGCAGGCAGACCACCTTGAACCATATTTAATCCGTGATTTAATAATTATATCGCTCGGCACTTCACTAAGTCCAGATATGGTACTCAAAGAATCGGCATTCTTGGTGGGCGTTGGCAGTTTTGTATCCACTTGTGGTAGTGTTGCCTCTGAGCCTCTATTGCTGACTTCCATAATGCTCAGGATATGTTATTTAAACAATTCACGTAAAACTTGCGTGCTCCATTTACCGTTTACTACTAAATGCGCAACTTTTAACGCCACTACTTTTATAGCCGCTAGAGCTAATGATATGCTAATTAATAAACTATCCCTAAAGTACTGATGCCCGAGGGAGCCTTTTCCTTTTACCCACATTCCCATGTATGTAAGGATATAAACGTGTGCCAGTAGATGACATGGGTATGTAATACTAATTTTGCACTAACATATGCATACATAATTATATACTCTTTTACTCTCGAATACCTGCCGGATTCGAATCGTTTTATCTCAAAAACGGTAGCTCTTAGGAAAAAGTATTTATACATTTTTTATAGATAGTTTTATTATCCTAAATTTTTGATTGAGGTAGTTTTACCATAAATCCTACCCTTTCGTTGAATATTGCGTAAAAAAAATATTTTTTGACCTTTGGCCGCGAGTATATTTTTTTCAAATACCAGAACGATAAGAAGTTGTCTCCTACAACTGTTTGCTTTTAATCATGTTTTTAACTTATGCAGCTTAGCTTGTGGTAAATTTATGTATCTTTGAATGTTTAAATTGCGCGGAGTGAATTAAAGTGATTGAATTATAAATGATTCTTTAAACATATTTGTTAATATTTGTCATTATTTAACTGATGATAGACACAATGGCTTACCTATTATGACTTAGATTTTGCCTACCCTAAAATATTATATAAAAAAAATTTCAAAAAGCATAGACTAAGTGACTTAATGTTTTACCACACACTTTTTTACATTTATAAATAAAAAATTTATGTAAATCATTTTACATAAAAACTATGTTTTTGTGATATTTTTATTCTTAATATGCATAAAACTGAGTACTAAAAATATATGCAAAGAAAAAGCAAAATATTTTATTATATTTACTTAATTAATTACACTAAAATAACAAAACATTATATACTTATAAAAAAATAAGTCAAAAAAGAAACCAAACAAAATAAATCCGCCGTTGCCTTATTTCTTACTAAAAAACGATGCTATGCTTTTTGTACCTTTGGCACTCTTTGCTAACGCCTTTTCCTTAGCTGTTAAATTTCTCTCTTTAACTGGCGAAGGAGTCATTATTGCTTGTGCCACACTAACTGGGCTTACTTCTTCACTGGAACTATTTAGCCTGCTATGGTCATTAGTTGGTGAACCGTCAACCAAGCCACTGTTTTTAAGTTTATCCGTTACATTTGTGCCTTTATCTTCCAATTTTATTTTCTTGTTTTCATTCGAATTAAGTTGCAGCAAAGATTTTCGTTTCTTTCCACCTTTCTCTTTTTCCTCCTTCTTCGGCGCAGTTGTCAACAGCTTTTCTTCGGGTATTTCCAAATATTCTTTAAGCTTCTCGTGTAAGTCTACATCCAAATAGTCACCGACTATGTCGCATGCCATGCGTAAATAATCCATATCAGATTCTTCCCTGTTTTCGCCCTCAAGTTCACCACGTACATAATTTTTTGACATGGCACTCTGACCACAATGCACACCAATGCTGCGCAGCTTTTCTGTTACACGACGTGTTTTAATTGCTAACCACGCCAGTGTTCGCTCAGCGTTATATTTGTAAAATACCATCCCGTTGGCTTTTTTAACATCGGCGATACATCTCAAGTGCTCCTCGCCGCGTACAAATTCACGCAGTAATCGCAACGTGCTCTTATCATCTGCCTCACCAATATCAGCTAAAGTCAGCGCTTTTTGTGAACAATGTAAACGTATATGATGCAATGCAAGCAGCGTTATATCAATCGGTGTTGTCATGAAGATGCGTCCGTCTGAACACACATCATCGTTGATTAACCAGCTACGCCTTGGTTCGGCAAATTCTTTTACTTCCATTAGCTCTGTGTTGGATTTTGTAATAAAAAGTGTAGGCTTGCCTTTTCCAGGATGATAAAAGTACTCCAAGGTTAATTCATTTTCAGGATCTTCCAATAGCTCTTTTGATATGAACATCACTTTGTAAAGTGCCGGGGCTTTCGCTGCTGGAACAGGTGTTTCCTTGATAGGTTTTGAAAAGCGTGTAGACTTTTTACTCATTTTAAATACTTCTGCAATATATTGTCAATAAAGTTAAAAAAGTCTATAAAATTTACTACAATCAAAACAAAATACTTGTAAAATATCGCGCGCTTACAAAATACAAACATTTAAGCGAAACGTCAAAAACGCAACTCTGTTAAATTAAAGGTCCAACCACAGTATGGTCATTCACAGTGCATAGTAAACGAAAATGACATTTGTATACATAAATCGATATATGTATAATAGAATTTGATATCGTTATCAAGCATTTGAGATAATTGAAGTTAGTGCTTAATTATTTACGTTATTATGAAACATTTTACAAGTAATATCAAGTTGTGAGCAATATATACCACACTACACCATGTAGGAGTTTCATTCGATTATATTGTTGTCGGTTTTAGAAAATTTTATCCAAATGCCTCTACTTTCAGACCAATCCAATAATTTCTTAGAGCCTTGTCAGCACTAGTTTTGCACCATTTCGGAACCATTTTCCAACTACTTTACTAAGTTATAGGAAGTACTCATTGCAATTTGGCTACATTCGGCATTTGAAAGGATATTTGGTTATAAAGATCCCCCGCCCAAAAATAAAATCAAAAACTGACATAGCGGCTGCCTTTAAACAAAGTTGATCAGATCAAAATATAGGGTAATTGTATGGAGAGTGATCGAATGATTTCTCTTCGAGTAATCAATCAAGCAAATTTTTAAAACGTAAATTTGAAAAAAAATTGAGTTTAAGATATGTTGAAGGCTATTACTGAAAAACCAATAGTTGGCTCAACATTTAAAATTTTAGTATGTTATTTTTAAAGGTATAACGATTTTTTAAACTTCGTACTAGGTGTGCCTTCTAAATATCTGTGTATTCGAATATTTACTCTCTCATAATTATTATTTGCATCGTTTTGCAAGTCTTACGAAAGTCTCGGTGATATTCCTACAACTAGGAATAAATGGTTATACTGGTCTGTAACAAGTGATACACAAAATATGTTTTTAAAATATTATCAACTTTATTTATATTAAATTTTCGATAAAATACATTTTAATGTACAATATTAAAAGCTTACACTACTAATTATCAATAGAGAAAAGTAATTATTTGCGTGCATTAAATGTGTATGGACATTGTACTTCACTGAACTTTTATTTTTAAACACATAACAGACTTACCGTTATGTATGTGTGTATGTACAAATGTCTATAAATACAGTTTCTCAATATGCTTTAATGCGATTGTAAATAATTGTAAACACTAATTGCATCCATACAAACATGTTTTTTGTTTCCAATCTAAATTTATGCATAATAATAATCCGAACCTAATTAATGTCTTTATTTTACATGCGCAAACATACCTACAATTGTGTCTGCAATACAATCAGATATTGATTTAGATTGAAAACTTTACTATGCCTTATTCTTTCATACCGCACACACTATTAAATTTTAATGTAAAAATATATTTTTTATTTGTTTTTTTTTTTTTTAATTTGCTTGTTTGGCAACTCATCCGCTGTCATATGTATGACAGTAGTTTAAACGTTATTAAACCCGTTAAAACTTACAGTTACTTTTTATGATTTAAGAAAATATCATTATCATACACATGTGTTTGTACGAAACCAGTATTAATTTAACTATTTAATATTTATTAAATAACTTTACATAAAGGCAAATATTTCAAGTCTTTTCAGTATTAAGTTGCATGTTTTGTTATTCTCCGCTCTACCAGTCTTGGAATGGCACGAACGTTGCGAATTTACTCACAATGAAATGTGAGTATTTATCCAAACCATCCAATATTCCTATTCTATTTATATGCAAAACTTTTTATATTTATTACATGTACATATTTATGGCTTAAAGTCGAATTTGATGAATCTCTAACACTAAGTTCAATCACTATTTATGGCATTACGCGTTTAGGTGGGGGTGCACATAACTAAATGAGTGACTGAGATTGGCCTTAATTGCTTTTTCCATTACAAATATATTTTCTACCAACATAACATAACCTTGTAGCAAAAAATACTTTTAATATGTTGACGACAAGGCGTTTCGTGTGGCCTGAAAATATTTCTCTAATACTTTAAACTTTTTTGTGTAACAGTTTTCCTTCTGCTTTTCAAAGTAATGCTGACATCATACTTTTACATTAATTTTTACTAAACTCCGAAATAACCTGCTCATTTCAGAGCATCTTCCAAGACATGTGCCTTCTCATTCTTTAATGGTTCACCCTCCTCGGCACTAACAACAGATCTGCGTTGCTTCTCTGGTGGATTGTTCCAAGGCTGTAGTTCACCGGAGCCCATAATTATGTAAACAATGGCGCTGGAAATGTAAGTGACTGCCAGTATGCCGAAAACTATTTGCCATTGATGATATGATTTCTGTAAATGCAATCAGATAAGTTAATGTTTAACTGTTGTAAAAGAAATCACTAATATAGTTATGAAACTTACATCATCATAGGTCAGCGCACCCACCATCCACGTCGACAAGAAGCCGCCGAATGAAGAGAGCGTATTGGCCAAACCGAAAATGGTGCCGCTGAAATTGGGCGCAATGTCCAAGCCGTTGCCAAGATAGCCTGCTGTTACAGCGCCGTGCGTGAATAAAGCCAAAGTAAAGATTGTCACTGACCACGCTGCATCGCGTCCCAAAAATATTTGCGCAATCATCAAGGTACCAGGGCATATCAGTGCTGTAATGAAGAAATGTTAAGAATGTTAGATGTCAGCGTCATTTTTCATAAGCATGCCTAAATGATATTTAAATTAAAAAAAGTCAGGGCTTGGTTACTCACCAAAACCGGTGAACACCTTTCTTGTGGCCGTTGTAGATAGCACACCACGCTGACGTAGATAATCAGCAAAGCAGGACGAACTGAAAGCCATTATATATTTGCCCAAGTACGGCAATGAGGAGAAAAGTCCATTCTAAAAGAAGAACAGTAAAACATTTAATAGTGTTAGAAATTTTAATGTTTTTGTTAAACTTTTTCTTACTTGTTTAATGTTAAAATGTAATATTTGATCCATAAATGTTGGCAGCTGATTAACGACAGTGAAAAAGCCAAATACAGATAAGCCGTGAGTAATTACAATTGCCCACACAGGTGCTGAGCTAAACAGGTCGCACCATGGCACATAGCTGGGACGTTTCTTGGAAGTAGAGCTGCCAATGGCATCCTCAATTTCGCGCCGTTCCTCAGAGCTGATACGCGGATGTGTGGCGGGTGTCTCATAAACAAAGGTGAACCAGCAGATAGACCACAAAAGGCCAATACCACCTAGAAGAATAAAAATTGTATATAATACATTTCTTTTGTTATTATTATATATCAACAAATACACCAAAAATTATTTTTTTTTTACGTTTGTTAACAATTGTGTATAAAGTCTGATGTACATATGCGATTATGTAAATAAGATAAAATTAATCTTAATCTTAAAATCTTTTAGTAATTGTCAATGGCAACTACATACTACAAATTCATCCGCTTCCGCATAAAACGAAAACTTGGCAGCACTGTTATAGGTATTTTCAACAACATGGCCGTTTTGCAGATATTCTCTAATTTTTTTCGCTTTGTACTTGTTTTTTTATTGAAGCGCAATTTGAGTATTAAGCTTGAAAAGTGTAAATATAAAAGGACGTTAAGTAATTACACCTACCGGTCAAATAGAAAACGCTGGGCCAACCCCAAATGGAAATGAAGTATCCGCAAACAGGCATCGTTATAGCTGCACCCAAGGAGGAAGCTATAAATTTAAATAGACAAAATTTCTTTTAAAAATATTGTCACAATTGCTTCGATGTAAGATTGAACATACCCATCATGTGCGACATGAATTTAGAACGTTCCATTGGTGGAATCCATACAGCCGCCACAGGATGTATAGCTGGCCAAGATGCGCCCAACATAAAGCCCAACACAACGCGTACAATAATTAACATGATATAATTAATATGTGCCGCCAATGGTGTAATCAGTGTAAGCAAACTAGCCCAGAGCATGGAATGCCCGAAGACACGCCGTCCACCGATTAGTTCAGCAAGTCGACCGCCTGGCAGTTCAGTTAATATATAACCCCAGAAAAAGGAACCTAGTACAAAGTTCGTTTGATAAGAGTCCCATGGAAAGTAATCATTTCCATCGTCAGCTGGTGGCAGCTGAGTTGTTGTCGTTGTCGTAGTTGTTGTTGTTGTTGATGCTGCTGTGGCATTATCAACTAGTTGTGCGGCACTCATTTTGCCGACCGTACGCGGTGGCGAATGCACATCTGGATGCACCATTGCCACAATGGCTATTGTCAGATTTACGCGCAATGCATAGTTCAACATGAAGCCAAGCATGGTGAGTATATTAAGTACTTGACGACATGATAGCATATCTATAGAATTACAAGAGTGGAAAATTTTTAGATTAATATTAGTTCGAATAATAATATAATATGCAACATATATGTATGTACATATATACATTATTTTTAAGTTTGTATGATTTGGGAGTTATCCAAGAAATTAGGAAAAGTATACAACAAAATTAATATCTGAAAGTATTTGAAATTCAAAAATGTAGAGGAATTTATCTCCTACTCATATCTTCATTGCGATTTTTTAGTATTTATTAAAACTATATGTTCAATTTTTAATATTTGGGTAAAAGCTAGCTGGAATTGTATAAATACAAGTACTAAATCCGAATATCGTATATCAATAATCTGCTTTACTTCTTTTCAACTCTAACATACTGTTCAAACATGGCAAAAAATTCCAACAAATACAACCTTCTTTCAATCCCTAAAACGTATCTATACTTCACGAATTTGTATGTATGTATGTGTCTACCTGTTTAATATATATCAACCCCACAGTCATTATCAAACTACTATAAATTTGCCGGTGGGACCATATTTACTTAGGTGTTTAATACTTTATGGACTGTTAAATCTCTATAAGCTTGAGGAAAATTTTCAAAAGTGCTATAATTAATCGTGCAAAAATTCGCTTTGATCTGTAGTCGCAAAAAGTAACACCTTATATGGTAATCATAGTAAAATCAAAATTTGAATTGCGTATTAGGGAAACAAACACAAGACCGGCATGAAATGGTGCCATAATACAAAAAGTAGGCATAGTCATCACGTGATGTTAATGTTATATCTTTATTTTCGTTTTTACTTTACACAATTCACATGCCAAAACGCTCGTGGTCAAAAATGTATGTAAATTGTAGAATCAACTTAACGGCGCTCGTGCGAAGAATGCCTCGGACTGATTTATTGATGGCTTTTGCGCGAATATCAGTTTTTTATTTATTGATTAAAGCTAATTATCAAATGAATTATAATCGTAATGAATATATATGAATGTATAGCCGCGACTTTAAACCGTCGCTGTTATATATTAAGACCGATGAGGTGCGTACCTTCATTTATATCTCATAACTAATATTTAGTATTTGCACTTCAATATTTGATTTGAGTGTTTTAAATTTTTATTTGTATATACTTACATATGTGTTCATAAATGAGTACGCATTCATTTTGAGTAGCATGAGGGTTGGTATCGTTTTAAAAGCCTGTTTCGAAATTTATATAGTATATGCCTATTAATCTGCGGTTAAAAATCCCCAACAAACAGACACAGAAATCAAATTAATTAATTAAATTATAAACAAAAGATCACAAGTTTGTTTTTCATATTTTTTGCTTTGTTGTACGCTTTTGGGGGCCAAACGTGTTTCGAACTAATTCGCAGTAGTCGGCACATGTGACAAACGAACGAGTGCCGACCAGATTTGCAAACTCGATATTTGTATAAATAACTTAAGGCGCATTCCCCAGTGAATATGAAAACTAATAAATCATTTTAAAAAGCACAGTTATTTATAGGATTTTTAGGATCAAATATTGACATATGCACCGATCCGTTAACATTTTTTGAAAAAGAAAACTTTTCGCAATAAGATTTTTCAATAAAAGTAGACTAGGATAATGAAAGAGAGTATAAAAACGTAGCTAACGTATAATTTATGGTTTTTTTATTTTGAGGGCTCTATACGGTGATATGGCGTAATTCGATTTGGCCATGTTCATCTGTCTGCATATACGCGGATCAGTCTCTCAGTTTTTGAAATATCGACCTGGAATTTTGCACACCACCGTTTTACCCTAAGAAACTGAAAGAAAGACAACGGTATAATCTACGAAAAAATTGTTCAGATCGGAGCACCATAGCATATAGCTGCCATACAAATTGAACGATTAAAATAATGTCCTTGTATGGAAGTTTTATATTTGTGAAGATACCTACACAAAATTTGGCACATATCTTTGTCTAAGTCAACGTCACAAACTCTGAACATATTGGACCCCTATAGCATAGAACTAGGTATAATAATAATGCACCAGTGAAGGGTATTATCGCTTCGGTGCAACGTTTGTTGCTGTTTTAATTTTTTGATTTTTCTTTTTATTATGTTTTTCAGTTTTTGACCGATTTAATTTTATTATTACCTAAGAACGTCTTTAATAGCTTTTTAGTTTTTAATTTCTCTCATATCAAACATACTTATTTCAAAAGCACTGCAAAAATTAGAACGCATGGCTTTGAAGGGTATATGTATGTACATATGTACGTATGCATGTATGTTTGTATATAGTTAATAGCTTCTTAGAACTAATTAAGGCTTAATTATAAATCTCACTTCGCTAGTAAATTTGATTAAAGCCGGTCAAAGCTATTTTAATCATTATAATATTTCTTTGGAAAAGCTTAATCAAATTTCAAATAAGCGTTAATCTCCATAAACCATTATATGATATTTCTACAGACGTGTAGTGGATGTAAAGTTTTCTTGTGTTTATATATCTACATATATGCGAATACATACATATATATATACTTGCTAAAGTTGTGCAAATCGGGATGTAAGTATGAAGCTTCCGCTAAACTCTCCGTCTATCTAAATTGCACGAGCATTGTTTATTTGAAATACATATAAATGTTCAACTGAAATAATATGCGGCACTGTTATTTCGTATCTACTTTTTTTGCGGAATAGATATTTCCCACGGCCGTTTGAATACAACTCGTGCGTCCACACTTGTGTGTAAGTATCTACGCATATAGAATTTGCGGCAGAACGTGTTGAATGTACCTACATATGTGCATACACATGTTTGCCTTTTATATGTACCTATGTAGTGCCGCTTTAGAAAATGCGTCATTTACGAAAATTAAAATATATTTGTCCATTTTTTTGCGCGAAATGACGCGTGTGTGCGACGAGAAAATCAGCTTTCAAATGTCAAATTTCTATTTATTTTTCGTCGACAAAGAGTAAATATTGTAGGCATAAATCTTTGTATAGTACTTTGGAAAGAATTTTTCAAAAAACATTAAAATGTTTTCAAAGCTCTTAAGTTTTCTTTTTCAAATTAGAAAAGAATTTCGCAAGGTTCAAGGTGAACCAAAAAAGTGCGAAAGTGGTTAGATTTCATGGCAAATGTTGGGTTATTTGTGCAACGATTCATTGAACTCTTGTCGTTGTTAACTATTTATTATTACGAACTAGTTTCCAATAACGCATAACAAACAAATAACAGCTGTTTGTGACTCGCTAAACCTTGCAGTATGACGAAAAGAACAAGCGACTTGTAAAAACACAATCGAATGGCATAAACAAAGAGAAAGATAAATTGGGTAATGATTATGCTTCTTAAATGGTATAAGCTTACTCTCTTGTATTTAATACAATGGTATAACTACTGGATCTTGTTGCTTTTACGCGCAATTTTTTTGACAAAAAATCGGAGGCCAAAAATTGCCAGAGAAAAATATAGCCAAAGACGGCTAGTAATATTTTAGAGCCATATTTAAGTTTTGCAGAATTTTTTTCTGTCGATTAAGTTAATATAATATAAGGTGTTTGCCGATGTCTTATTAATTTAAATCTAATATAATCTATTTATGGAATAATATAAAGTCTTCTGCCGAGAATGTAAAAAACTCTGTGTCTTTCTTTGTTTGTCTTTATTTTTATTTTTTTGTTAAATGATTTGTTTTGTTTTCTACATTAAAAATCGCATGAATCATACCAAAAAGAGTTTCATACAAATAACTGCATGTATTAAAAAAATTTACGAGCATATTCATTTACGTCAGTATTATTACATTTTTGCTGTTGGGAGTCACATTTTTTAAATCTTTCAATAACCTAACCTCTTTAACATATTTCGCTTCGGAAGTAAATAATGTAAATGAGATTTGTATGAACAATTCTCACAACAGAAGCTTTGTTCTTTTATTTAACAACCTGTTTTGTAAATTATAGACTTTAAATAAGCAGCAGACTTATTTGGACATTATCTTAGAAACAAACATATCAATCGAGTATATTTCAAATAATAGGGAGAGAAAATGAGAAAATATTAAAAATTCAGTAAATTCACGCTGAATTTATTTGTATTACTTTTATAATAAATGCAGTTAGAAAATTTGTCACTGTCAGTCGAATCAGCTTGGATACTGCAGCCTCTGCTACAATAAATGATCGAATGCTTGTTTTCAATTAAGAAAAGCAAATCTTCTTTGTTTGAGCCTTCATTTTGTGAGCCTGAAGGCCAGTTATCTATACTAACGTCTGACGGCAATTTGTTGTTCATACACACATACATACATATGTACATATGCATGTAGAGAGGGTGTCCCCACAACAAAAATAATTTAAGTACTCAAACTCGCGTATACAGATGTACAAAGCTTAATCCGAAGCCTGTTTAAATTTAGGTTATTGTCACAAAAATTTTGTCATTCGCAAGATTTCAATTTCAATGAACTTATTGAGCTTATTTCAGGTACGTTCAAATATGAGTACTTGCAAACGAACATACATATGTTCACACGTCATTAAAAATACAAAATGCGCCAATATTTTTTTAAGTAAACTTATGCTTTTCAAATGCGAAATACGCCGTTGGCTCGAACTTACTTGATTAATGTACATATGTATGTATGTGTGGGTGTGCAAATATTTTTCAAATACCGCAATGTGATTATTTGTATATACATATGTACATTGTTGCAAAAAGTTCTTTGTAGACGCGTCACCATGCTAGTATGTAAATATACATACATACACGTTTGCGTGTATAAGTATGTTTCTCATTAATGCCAATATTTGGATTTTAGCCAATAACTGTCTGGCTTTCCACAGTCATGCATTAACATAAGTGTTTGCATATAATATCTAATATAATGCTTTTAATTTTTTTAATGTGCGTGGGTTTATACAGGTGAATAAAAGCACTTGAAACAAGTCTACATATATATCCTACCGCAGGTATATATGTACATATGTGTGTGTTGGCTTATCGTAAGTAAACGC